CTGAAAATTGAGACAATAGCCGATGATGAGGATGACGCAAGGAAGTGCAAGGCCACCCTGTGTGGCAGAGTGGCACAGTGGTGACACTTGTGTTTCATAGCAAGAAGCACCTGGATTCGATTCCCGACTCGGGTACCTTTCTGTGTGGAGCGTGTGTGTGTGTGTTCTCTCTGCCCCTGTGCTGTATGGGTTTTCTCAGGGTTCCCCAGTTTCCTCCCATCGCTAACCCCCCCCCCCCACATGCAGTGTAACTGGCCTTGGCCAAAAACATCCCAATGCTGCAACAATTACCTGCTAATTATTCAAAAGAGATTACGCACAGCATGTACGTATCCAGCCGTGCTGATTGGAGGTGCGGGGAAAGGACAACAAACTAAACACAAAACTCATTTATAAATCTAAAGAAATGAGTTTTCAATCTCGATGATTTAAAAGTGCAAACATAGCCCCAGTGGCCTCCTAATATAGGACGCTTCCAGCAGCAACATCGCCTCCTTCTTCAACAACATGGCAGGACCCTCCTGAAACAAAGAGGTCTTGAGACTCGGTGAGACTTTTCGGGGTGAACAGGCGCCACAACATCTGTGGTGTGGTGGGTGATGCCGCACCACAACTCCATGTGTTGACACGAGCGTGACGTATTGGTGGGGCGCGACCCATGCTTTCAATACATTCATCTCTCCGGAGTTGAATGTAAATGTTTCTGCTCCCACACACAGAGTCCAGTCAACACGATACAAAATACAAAGAGAAATTCGGAACAGATTTACCGCCGTGATTGAGACGGCCCCGCGCGTCGTCAACTATTCACGTGGCATATTGTGTCACTTCGAGCGTAAGATAGTGAACTCATCACGCATGGTACGATTTGCCTCACTCGACAGATTTTGTCTGCACCCAGAGGTGGTGGGGGTGGCTCAGCGGTCAGAGTACTGAGCCGGCACCACTCAGATCTCTAGGTTCGAATCCGGGTTTCAGCCCCCGCGATGCAACTGGGTTCTGAAGCGTTAACAAGTTTGTGGTCCCAGACCGGTAAAACAAAAAAAACTATCACATTCAGTTTGGTTTTTCATTCATTTAATTGGCAAACATCCAGCAGTGACGATTAAATAATTTAATTGTGGCTTAACTACAAAGTGAAAACACATAGCAGGGCACATGGAAGAGTAGTGTGGCTAAGAGGTCCCTTGAGAGTCCTCAGCAGTAGTTCTGTGATATCTCTTTCTGTGGGGTATTTACAACTCTCCGGTGTGCGGCTGCGGTCACCCAGAACAGACCATGGAGAGCGCATAAACAACTCAATTCCCGACTCACGAATGCGAAGGATGAGGCATCATCACGCGATGCACCACACCGCTACTCCTGCCGCGGTCATCCTGCCACGTCACCTCGAAGTTATCTGATCGCTGTCGCTCTCGAAGAAGAAGGAGGCATTCTGCGGGGCGCTCTTTCGCGCGGGGTGATATGCCGCTCTGTGACGCGTCAGGATGGACAACATCATCTCATCGCATAACACTGAGGGCGCAATCGTTATACAACTGCGATAACACGGACCTCGTTTTATTGTTTTTAACAGATAATTGCATTCGAAAAGCTGTTCTTGTAAAAAGTGCTAAATTATCCGAGGTCCCCTCTGCACAGATCCCGACCTGGTAGAATTAATTTTCATGAACTGATAGGCGGCAACTGTTGACTTAATTGAACATCTCTTACACCATTGCTGTCGCCGTAGGGAGCCTGCCCATTAGCATTGGGCTGCCTCGCAAGGCAAGACGACTGGACTGCAGGGGCCGCGAGTAATAAAATGCAAATTGTATTTCATGAATCTGCGGTCAGCAGTGATGCAAATGCACAGACTGCACATAGTTACCCACCGACGAGACGCCTCGCCGCTGTGTATGATTAATGTTTGGAGCGATGCAGTGGAGCGAAAAGAACTGTCACTGCTACGCAAAGGTAATTTATCAAATAATAATTATAATTTATGAGCCAATAGGCAGTGATGATTCGACCCACAAGCCAATCGGTAAATTCTCACGATTTTGAGCGTCACGTTTGATTCAAGAATCGATACCTTTGTTTTGTTGATGCCTTAATCTGACATTATGTGCTCTGAATAAGGTCCATTGCCTGAAATGTTACCCGTTATTTGGTTTTTGTTTTAAGGCCACAGTGTTATTGAGGAATATGTTAACCTTTTTTGCATTTGTATATCGTCTCTTTGTATAGTTTGCGTTTGTCTTGCACAATCTTTGCTCTCATCTTAACCTAAATGTATCGTCCGTACATACATATTACACGTAATTTTCTTAAATCGTAAATGATTTATTCTCACACTGGATACAACACACTGTGATATGCTAAGGATCGGTTTAAACCCCATGAATCGATGACTCGTCATCACACGCCTGGGCATTGCCATATGACAGTATTGTCTGACGTTCCGCTGGAGATTACAACGGGCATCATCAGGTGTTACAATTTGCTGGCTTTTCGACATTCCAGGAGCTGTGCTGGTCAACCAAATCAATCCGCGCGTTTCCCCGTGACGTGACAAATTGAATCGATTGCCTCTCTCGTAGGGTGGTGGAGGGTGATCGTTATACAATTGGAATTATAGATCAAACTTAAGATAAATTAATTATGGACCATAATATTGGTCGTGAAATCCTACGTAGATTTAAATGTATGTAGATATTATTTTAAATCGAGCTTCCTCGAGTCATAGAAAAATTACGTTTAAAAGCCAAATATAATTTTGCAACTCGGAATAATATAATAATATATATAATACAGGTTTTTGGGGGGGATTTGCTCTCAAACACACTGTTCTGCTGTACTAGTAACGAATTGGCATGTTCTGTGTACGTGACAAACCTTACTTATTGTCTGTGTCGGGTGGTGGCGGGTTTAAGGACACATTTATATATTTACGCGATCTAACAAAAAAAACCCTATATTATGGGTGATTTTGGTGGCGAAAGCGTACGTGTTAAACTAAACATACAATATATATTTATTAAATATAGAGTAATATAACAATAATATTATAAATCCCCAGTCCAATGCAGGGACATGGAGTCAATTTCAGAAAAGGTCACTTGCTGAGAAAATAAAATATTGAGATATTGAGACGGCTGAAGCCGTAGGCTTGTTTAACGCCGCGACTTGCGCTTGGGGTAAGGAATATCAATCAAGCAGCAGCCGGCCGGGCTTTCAATGGATTTATATTAAATAACCTCCCCACACTCTTGCTGAAATGCTAATTGGTGCATTTAATAAAACTGGGGAAAATACACGGAAACACCCCTTTTATGCAATGGTACATTCCATAAACTATTTGACAACACCGCTGGAACGCACTATTATTTCAGCTTTAAAAGGGACGTTTTTGCTACGTTTTGTGACAACCATATCGACTCGAGCAGTGGACACATAAAGTTTGTTGGCGTGCATAGGAATATTTTAACTATTCATAAGCCATGCTTCGGCGTTGCATTAATGTGAGCAAAATTTGTCAATGTTTTATGCATCGGTGTGCAAGTTCAGTCTTAATTGAACACGTGAGTGTGGTGCCACAGCCTCGGAGCAAATCTGCAAGCGTCGCAACTCCCCCCTGGCCCCCACACTGAGCACACACTGAGCACACACACTGACACACACACACTGACACACACACACACTGAGCACACTGAGCACACACACTACGCACACGCAGCTCACACACGGAGCGCACACACTGAGCACACACACTGACACACACACTGACATACACACGCAGCACACGCACTACGCACACGCAGCGCACACACGGAGTGTCCTGGCGGGGGATTGCCTGGCACGACGGATTTTAATCCGAAGGGTCCCTAGGAGGAAAATCCCACGGTTTCCCGGTGCCAGGAGATTGGCCGCCCCTCGCGGGACAGGTCACACTGCGGTGCCCCTGAGTTGGCCTAAAATTGTATGGGCGCAAAAAGGTTCACTGGGCCAGCCGCAATGAGTCATTCACGGCATCGGGAGAGGCTTAGGGTGGAATATTAGGCAAGAAGAGCAGACCATGAGGTCAGGGGAACGCAACGCCACGGCCTCCCCCGATAGGGAATGAGGGTGATTCGGTCGTAGGCAAATGATGCTAGGTAACATACACAATAATTATCGTGAAGTTTTAACTAAAATATTGCAAATTTTCAGCATTGTAATGGATAAAGATACCCTGGATATTTATTTGCGCTCTTTTCTATGCCTCTACCACGTGGGTCTCTCTCCACGTCTCTGTTCCTTATTCCTCGTATCCCTGATGGTCTCTCGCCCTTCGCATCTCTCATCCCGTTGTGTGATTTCCCGTGTCTCGTTGTGCCTGTCTCGTCTGTGTCGCGTTCATCCCCGTGTGCGCGTGTGGATTCGTGATTTTTAGTCAAAGAAACCCCTCGAAGCTGCCGGACTAATTGCTGGAAGAGCCTTTCTGGCGATTGGGGTGGGGGGGGGCAGCATACTGCACATGACCAATGCACAAGCGTCTTCTTTCGTATGGCTGCTGATGTAGATGCAGAGCACCAACTGCAATGTCACATGCAGGTGGTCAAGCCGCAGTCAGGAGTGGGAGAGGAGTGTATCGCTCTGATGCCTTCTTCGTCTTTGTGGATCGGGCATACGTTGTCCGCTCTAGTTCTGGATGACCGCAGTCGCACACGACTGGAGAGTTTTAAATGTTCCATTTGTGCATCATCAGGTATCCGAATCTACTGCTGCCATGGTTTGTGGGGATGCAATTTAGGGTGGACCATGAGCTTCGTGGAATATCAAACCCAGGGATCTTCTGCATAACAATGTATAGTTACATGTACATGTATTGGACACCTCGCACACATAAATCGTGAATAACGATACCTAAATATGTACAATGTAATACGCACAATGTATATTAACACTGAAACGATGGCAAGCGTACGGTTTAATCCGAGTCGTCTATCATAAAAAAAAACACAGACGGAAGTCTGGAGAGATATTCTCACGGGCTTTGAAAGTTTATTCATTTTGTTTTTGTAAAATAAATACGGCAAAGTTGGCACGTGAACGAATGTGCCAATTCATTGCCGCTCCTGCACACCGGCGTGTTTGGAAAGCCTTACGCAACGTGCAACAATTGGGCACAGACGTCTCGCTGTTTGTCTTCAAACAGCCCAAGCAGAGCACCGAAAACAATCAGGGGTATCATCCACACAGGAAACGGGATTACCGAATTTCATACATCAGAAAAGTACAGAGCATTATATTTGCAATTGTACGCAAGCTTACACATTGTATTGATTTCACCATTTTTGGAGACGGCATTTCCTAGTGTTGACAAAGGCATCGAGAATCCGCTCCCCGCACATTGGCATACAACGTGAGCGCGTGGTCGGCCGATACGCGCGTTTGTGATGACCGGGTGGTGTGGTCATAATTGAGGGCTTAAAGCCCCAAGGGGTAGGATCGAGTCGGTTCTATAAACTTCTAGAAGCCAGGATCAGGTTGGGGTATAAAACAGGGGGTTGGTGAAGTAGCAGACGCACGAATCGCACCTCCTATTAGCACGGTTGGTTACGTAAGGTGCGAAGTTCAACATGCACACACACGCAGGTGGGAGACGTGTGATAGGTGTGTGTGTGGGAACGAGACACGGTGCGACCATGAGGTTCAGGAATTTGATGCTAAGTGTATTAGTAAAGAGTGAAATAGTGATGTGTACATGTTATATACAACATGCGCGTATCGACTGCAGGACGCAGTGTCCTGCTCCACGTAGGTTAATTAGATAGAGTTTCACTTGGATATATTTTTCTATCTATTTTTGTAGCCTTTCTCGCTTAGCCCAAATGTTTATTGTACCGTATGTGCAAACGCACACATAAGGCACAGATGTGTGCGCTCCTGCATGGTGAGCACGAGCGTCATGGTTAGCGCACTGCGCTACGAGCCCAAAGCTCGATTGCAGCCAACATAAGCGACAGTTATTTTAACTGGGCATGGGCCACCCCTACATCGACTCGGCCTTAAGATAAGTAGCTGGTGCGATGCGTAAATATCAGCATTGGCGATACAAAGGCAGTTGAGCGTGGAGCTGGCTATACCACCCACCCACTCACTTGTGTTTCGAGTTTGCCTTCATAGGCGCTTACCAACAGCACTTTCCCCAACAGTGTGTCCAAGCTTCACGGGGGACCTTTGTCTTTGCGTTCACGTGCGTGTGCGTGCCCGTGTGTGAATAAGATGTTCTCGACAATGGGAAACCACGGAGTAAATCTCCCCGCACTGAAACCTTGCATTTCCAACTCCTACACTGCACCACAGGGACCGATGAACTAGTGCCTCCTGATGGATGAGGAACGGAAAAAAAATCACATTCATCAATAGCATTGTCTTAAAGTAAAAAATAAAGCGACGTTTCGGGCAACGGCCATTCTTCATTGCACATAAATTATTGCCTTAAGATGAATTTGCTATGAAGGTGAAAGGTCGCCTATTATGTACTTTCCCATTTAAGGCAGTGTAATCGACGAGTGTGTTTTTGTTAATTGTGCTTGCGCACCGCTGCCAACGCAGCATCGCCGGATAACTTAATGAGGTGCTTGGCTCAGCATAACGTGCGCAGGGAACCGGAGAGGGGAGGTAGTGAGCTTGCTACATCGCCATTCTCACACTCGCGGAATTAATCAGCGTAAGGCCCCGTACTCTACATGAAACAAATGGGATAAGCAGGAAATCCATCTCCTTCATAAATCTCTCCCCACATAAAATATACAAGTATTGTTTTTTACACAACCCACCAGCCCCTCTGACCTGACACAAGCAACGTGTGTACCGGTTCCGAGATGTGTGTTCACCAGCAGTCACGTGTTGCTTGAATCAATGCTGGCGATCTGCCAGATGTAAACGTCAAGGAACCACTTTTTGAGTCAAAATATACGATGTGATTATTTTCCAATCGATGCACTGGGCTTGTTTCTCGTAGGTACGGGATACAAGAGGGCAAGTCATTCATATGGAAGACAAATTCACTTGCTATCTTTTTTTTCACGGCCCAAACCTGGAGCCTTTGTGATTGATTTACTTGTTTTTCAGACATGAGGCAAGAATGTACCGCACTATTGATTAGAAACGGCAAAAAGTTCATGTCTACGTGCTGAAAGAATGACAATCACTGGCTGAGGTTGGCTGCTGCAAGGCTCGGCCCTGTTGGGACGCAAGTGGCGCTGCGTGACTTTCTCTTTGTCTGCACCCTCAAAGTTCCTTCGCGAAATTGCCTCGGCTCTTTTACTGGAGTCGCAACGATGCGTCGATTGATTTGGATTCTGAAGCTCGCCAACGCACACATCCAATCGCGTGTAGGACTCGAAGCTTATCCGATTCGTTTGTGTTGTACGAGATATCTTCACGAGACCTCTGCAGCCGTTGGTGACTGCTACATCCACCACAATGTGAAGGGAAAAAAGCTATTTTAAATAGCAATGCAGAGATGCAAAATCCATTAGGGTGGGAGGGATTAATCATTACTCCTCCGCCTTTAACCACCCGCCAACTCATTCCTGCAGTCGGCACTGAACAGTCTGCAAGAATGCCAGCTCAAATCACCCGAAGTGAAGACAACAATAACATTATCGCAACGGGCGTCTTTCCGACAGAGACTAACTTGACACGAACAGGCGACGTATGAAAAGGACGTCACTCTGCAACGTGTGCGTTAGCGCACGTAACAGCAAAAAACACACTGGTACGATGCATCCCGGATTACCAACAGCAAACAGTTACAGGCACAGATGGCAGAGCACTCCACTTCCCATGGGTAACACCACACACCTGCCCTTCTGTGCCATTCCCCAATTGACAAACCGTGCCCAGAAACAGCACCTGCTGGACGCCTCTCCCCGTACGCGCGAGTATCTCCGTCCTACGTTCCGTGCTAACGATGCCACGCTGCAAAAAGCACGTTGTGCCATCGGGGCGGTTACAGCCTTCGTCTCTTTGGCAGCGAGTCTTGCTCCATGTGCAGCCTGTGCTCCAGTTGCTTCACCTGCCTCTGCAGCGCCGCAATCTCCTGGTCCTTGCTCGCCTGAAGGTGCTGCAGCTTCTGTAGCGGGACAAGCGGGCGCGGGACGGGAGAGGGGGAAGTGAGAGCCGCGCGGGGGACAGGAGGGGGAAGGGCTCTGCCACGGGCGAAAGGTGGCAGCAATTGCAGGGCCTATTTGTACACTTTTAAATAATAAAATAACTATGAATTTTTTTATACAATGGTATGGAAAGTGATTTTCTTTCTTTAGTATGCAATTAGGCCAAGACTCTCAGCAGAAAGAATGTTTCAAAATAATCGTAATATTGTCATTATTATTTCATGTTATTACCATAGCTCGTGTTATTAGCATAGCACGTGTTGGTGACAGACGCTGTTTTCTTGAAATAAGGAACCTGCTATAATACCTGATCAACGACATCGTTAATAATGAAACATGAACCTAAAAATACCCAGCCACTATTTAAGGCAGTAACCCATCTTCAGAGCCAAGAGCCATTACGCTCTCTAGCATGTCCTCTGAGTTCCCCGAAAAATCAGCTTGTCTATAGTTTTTAAGGAATCGGTGTCGTCAGCGATGATAGTGGTTTAAGATTGTGCTATGATAGTGGTAACACACTGTCCCTGAGATGTTCATTTAATATGAATATTTACAAGCCATTGACACACCGTTTTCGGGTCACCGTGATTTTTTTAAACCAAAATTTCTTATATTCTTGGATCGCAACACAAGCGGTCGAGCGCTTGTGTTGCGATCAAAACGTCGTAGTTTTTTGTTTTCGATGAACCTATCTGCGTGACTTTACCGAAAGACCCAAGAATCTGAATTCCTGCAGTCACGAGAGCTTTTAAGTCAAGATCTAAATGATATGATTGCGCGCAGCAATGTGTTCAAGAGCTGAATGCCAACGTCAAGGTTTGCTGGCCACGACGAGAGGGTTGTGCTCTTCCTCCTCCTTTGAAGGAGCGTGGATTACAGCGGTCTACCCCATCGTCCATCGGTTGAGTTGCATGGGCACATTTGCACAGTGGCAAACAAAAACTAAGTTACAATCATGAACACAAATGCATGACGCGAGTGACCTCATCCTCCACCACCCGGCCACTTCTTACGTTAGCTGGGACACCACGCTTTGTTGACCAGGGAGCAGTCACTCATTGCAATTAGCATGAACTTTTAAAAGTCAAAAGGTCATAGGGCGTATCTATAGCTCATATTCAATACCATAGGTCACTAGTTCCTTCTCGCAAAAAAATGACCGATTACTTGACTGTGCGATGAAAAACCACTCAAGTGCTCCGACCAAATGATGGACAAACGGAGCTTTCGTAGCAGTAAAGCATTCTTGCTCCGGGCAGAGCACCTGTCTGAAGATGTCGTGGTCGGAGGCTCCGCTGCTCCTCTGCTTGCTGAGCAGAGCGACGCTTTGCAGCTTCACGATCTTGGTGTCGTACTGCCGGAGGGGAGAGAGCGCACGGCAGAGCGGCGCACGGTAATGGTCGCTGGGCGGGCGCGAGGCCGGTATATCCACACGTGGCGATGCATCGACAACATAAAATATCGGCGAGTTCGTCAACAACACCGTGTCCTTAAAAGGAAAAAGTAAACAGGCGATGTTTCGGGAAATGGCCCTCCTCCTTCACAGCATTTGAGAAGCCGGAGAGGTAGTAGAGTGGCCTGATTACTGACTACTGCAAAGCCTGAACAGCGACCACGGATCGTGACAATTCATGAAATCCCTGGGCAGCTGGCGAATCATTGCATGCGCGGAGTGCACGGCAGTGTGCTTGGCGTACCGTGTGGCTGTGCAATGCCGTGCAGTTTGTACCCCACATGTTCCTACTCGGACCGCACGAATCTGTTTTTTAATGACGTTTTGAATTTCTGCATGTCGTCAATTAAATTTGTAATAAAACATTCTAATCTTACTATTTCAAGAGTCTTGTAAAGAAAACAACCTTCATTTACGCTTCAGGTTTTGTATTTATAGTGACACAATTCACATCCGTAGTGATGCGGGCAGGGGGGTTCTATTGGTGGATCCAGTTCTCCATGGTAAATCACGACTGTCCTCCGTGCGGTAGTTTTTTTGTGAATAAACGCAAACAGGAAGCGCAGTGCGGGGTGCCATGCCTCCACTTGAAGCTTGAGAAGCTTGGCTCCCTTCTGTTTCTCAACGTCGCTCAGCCGCCTTGCGAGCGTCTCCACCTCCTGCTGCCCCTGACCGATGACCTCCTGCAGCCGCCCTGCCTCCTCCGCCACTGAGCGACCACACGCACAGGGCCTCTGCTCAGCCGCTGCCTCTCACACGCTCGCCTACACCACAGCTTTCGCGGTGTGTTCGCGTGTCGGGTGAAGGGTGCCCACGGTGTTCCGCATTTTGCACTCCCACAGGGCCAGTGGCTTTGGTGTTATTTCCTGTCTTAACACATGTTATTAAAATTAAGCAATTGGCATTATACTGAGGTTTAAGTATTTGGAGTTTGTTTTTTCAGAGCAGTGCATCATCCTGTGTGTAAGAGAACAGGCCACAGAAGGTGATATTACATAACTACTTTTGAGATTCCATCAATAATCTATATTAGTCACACGAGATGCCCTTTCTCACACGCCCGACACAGAGAATAATTCATTGTATGGAATTTTTGCGAATTGGAAAACCAAATGTATCGTATTTTTCTTGCAGTCACTGGTGACTGGGCTGGAATCACTGCACTTGAGATCCGTTTAATGACAGATGCCAAAACCCAGATTCGATTCCTGACTCCCAGCAACACCAGCTGAGTGCCCTCAACCCCTGAACCATCCTGGCCACATCCCCAACAACTGGCTTCGATGCACAGATGCTCGACTGAGTGTGTCACACACAAGGAGTTTCCAAATGCTTGCTTGGCATGATCAGGGAATGACAAAACTGAGCAAAATCACAAAGTGATTTTGCTCTGCGCTGCCACCAGATCAGGGGTCGGCAACCAAAATAACAGGAGCCATTTATTTCGAATTCGGTAAAAACCTCAATATTTCAAAAGCCGCAGTGTAGTCTTTAGAAGAGGAGCATGCGGCTCCAGAACTGTAGGTTGCCGACCCCTGCACTCAGGGCAGGATTAAGATTGCGTAGGCCCCTGGGCTCCAGGTACTGTGAGGCCCCCAGTAATATTATCAAAAGGAAAACAAATTTGATGAAAATTTAAATTTACTTTTACAAGGCTAACAACAAATAGAATTCAGCATTCACAAATGAAATAACTTTTCACTTCATCTCTGGAGGCCCCCTCCAGCTGGCGGAGGCCCCTGGGCTACAGCCCATCAAGCCCCCACGTGCCTGAATCCGGCCCTGCCTGCACTTGGTGGACAGGAGCACGCATCGATTCAGACTGGTGGCAAAGGTTAAAGGAAGATGAAGCCCCAAAGAAAATAAACTGCTTTCTACTAACTATATATAGCCATACTGTGTCCCAAGCTGTGTGATACAGTTTGAAACTTCGCTCATGAGAAGACAACATTTTAAAAGTCGTGGTCAGTTACTCCCATCACAGCACTCGAATGACGTCACGACATTGACGCGTTAAAATGTAAGCCGTGTCAAAGTGATGCCACCCGAAGGCCATAATGGCACACTTGACCATACAATATCCATCTATTACTGCATTGACAAAGCTATAGGGGAATACCTTCTTAAGTTTGTGATATAAACAAAAAATCAGCAATTGCAGTTTACGTGCATGTCGATAACACGTGCGTCAGGCCAGACGAAGTCACCCGCTGTGCACCAGTGGCGCTTGGGCCACTCGTCTGACATCCCCGTCACATAGTCGTCCCAATCGTCCGTGGTTTAGCCAGCAGCCGCTGACGACCCGGGGCACGGACTTACCCCTGCGCTCCGCCTCCTGCTGCGTGGAGGCGAGGAGCAGCGAGTGCTTCTCCTGCCTCACCAGCCGCTCCGTATCCAGCCTCCGCAACTCCTCATCATGACACTGGCGCGGCGCGGATGTGTAAAACACAGAACAATCAACATCGAGCACTCGCAAGGGGATGCCCCTAACGCCGTGTGAAATGAAGCAAGTTACAGAACAATCGGTGGCGATTCTAGGACAGTCAACAGGGGATGAGAATGGGGGCACCACCTATTATTGAGGCGGGGGGGGGGGATACCAATTTCACCCCCTCATTGTGAAACTCCCTAAGTGAGAGACTGTCAGAGCAGACTCGGAGGTCACAAGCTGACCGCGCCACCGCCACATGACCAGGCAGAGGTGTGGTGATGTCGGTAGTGACGATGGCCACTGTCACTTTACCTCGAACGCCTCCCTCGCCAGCCACCCGGAGGATCTGTCTCTGAATGAGGGCCACGTTTGGGGGAGGCACTGCTGGTCATTATGGGGGCATGGTTCCCCTCTCCCCCCCACTCTCTCTCCCCATAGAATAGCCACTGAAATTTAGCCATCAATCGACTTGCTGTTTAACACATAGGCTTTCGCGACCAATATTTTCCATAAGAGTTATTTTGGGTTAGATTGCATAAATATAAATGTGTCATTAAATCCGCCACCACCCGACACAGCCAATTAGTAAGGTTTGCCACGTAAACAGAACATGCCAATTCGTGACAAGTTCCGAACACCGGTGTGTTGGAGAGTAAACCCACAACATTCACAATGTGATGGGGGTTTAAGGACGCATTTATATTTAATCGATTTGCTGCTTCATGACTATTGCCGCTGAGTAAAGAGACGCAACAAAATACTGAGAATTATTACATTTCTTTGACATAGTCTAGATCAGGGGTCGGCAACCAAAATAACAAGAAGAGCCATTTCTTTCCAATTCGGTACAAAATTCAGTATTTCAAGAGCCGCAATGCATCTGAGTACATACTGTACATACGTACATATCGTCAAGAAGCAGCCCGTAAAGAGCCGCATGCGGCTCCGGAGCCGTAGGTTGCCGACCCCTGGTCTAGATAAAATAATAATAAAACATGGGCGTTTTAAGACGTAATGTAAAAAAGACATCCAGACTCACATTCCCTAAAGGACCGAGGAAGGGAATTCCAACATCGTGGAGCCTGACTGCAAAAGTTCCGTCTCCGTTAGAACAAAAACTGGTCTTTGTAATCATATTGAATAGTGGACCAGAATCATCAGATATAAGCTTTCACAGAGGAATATAAAACTTAAGCAGCTCGTTGAGATTAAACAACGCATCGAGGGAAAAAGTGATGTGGAGGCCCAGTTGTAAATCTTACTTTATTTCAGAGATGAAACTGAATGCTCAGTTTATTAACTTAGAATGGAGGCCAAGCTTTAATCAAGCGAGTAGTAATGTGCTGCACTGCTCTGTATCCATTAACGAGTTCAACGTATCTACTAACAGCACTGGCAGAGCTGCCAACCACCTGATTGGTCCTAATTCGTGTGTTTAGTTTTTTTTACTCCTAGATGACATCCTGAGTTCTCAAATGTAGAGAATTTATGGTGTCCACATGGTCAACGATGACCCATCACAATAAACAATGTTTCCAATTAATTTGGCACGGTGCAACTCCAAGGACTCAACAGTGCTTGGTTCGATTGCTTGTGACAAATACCTCTGTAGCAGGGCATGCAAGAGTGCACCACCACCACCACCTAGTGTGGATAGGAGGCAACTGAGAGTAGCTCAGTAGTAGTTCTGTGAAAGCACCTTCAAGAGAACATTTTCAAAAATGAAACATAAAGCAGTGGGGTGACGTCACGCAGTTTTCTGCAAGAGTTATAACGTAATCACCGTCTGCAGTTCTACCAAACCCAGGTCCATCTCCCTCCCTCTCTGCTTCAGGGCCTCGTTTTCTTCTGCGCACGTCAGACCACATTGAGCCACAGTTGACTCTCCAGCGTCTGATCCCTGCTAACGCAGAGCACCACTCAATGTGAACCAAGTCGAAATACTCAATATGTCAACACAAGGTCAATCGGTGCCGTGACACTACAAGTGCATGAGAAAAGGGTCAACATTGTAAACTAGCTGCGATTAGCAAAGCGTAAACGTTCTGCATGCCCACGATGCCGGTTGGCTGAACTGCTAATGCAGGTTAGGTTAGTGAGGATACTGAGACACATTCAACTTTAAAGGTGCAATGTAAATGTGACTGTGGGTGACCATATGTGGACCATTGGTGGTCAAACAGGTGCCGCTTAACCGACCTCCAACATCCAGGGAGCGGTGCAGTGACTTCTGCAGGCTGTGCACAACGCCCTGCACCCTCGCGCACTCTGTCACAAACCAAGGGTGTTAAACAGTGCGCAGCTGCGATTACAGACACCAATGGGCGACCGTCGCTGAGGTGAGGCCACCAGCTGTGGTACCGTAAATCAAAGGACGCAGGAAACGCGTGGCAACAAACGGTGGGTACAACCTAACGTGGAGGGGGGGGGGCACCCCTATTCAAGCGCCCAAAGTAAAACTCCATAACCTCGGGATTGTAGGAGGCTTAGGGAGGTGAGGAATGAAATGGACAACTGCTGAGAGATCCAGCAGCAGCAGAAGAAGAGGAAGGGATGTCGAAATGCAGTGGCGTCAACAGCACTGGCCGTGATGACTTCTTGAGCTTAAACTCCAGTGGCTCACATAGGGCATTGCATGAGGGGGGCAACTGCTATTCATTAGCATTACACCATGCCCTCCTTCGTGGCATCCTTATAGAGTCGCCACTGGTCACCATGAACATACCTGTACACCTTGAAAATACCAAACATCAGGAGGCTTAAGTGTTACAGAGCTCTTGACATTCAGATAGTTCTTGACATGAAAGCTTCTCACTGGATCTCCAACCTTCGTAATGTCACCGGATGCGATAATTGTCAGTGAATAGGAGGCATGTAATGATGCATTATCATGCACATGATACATCGATTCCCGAAAGTATTTTTTGTTGTTAATGTTAACTATGCACGCGGCCTCAGACAAAACCACCCAGAATACGCCCATCTCGTCCCAACCTCAGAAGGTCAGCGGGACTCGGGCTGGATGGACGACCACCATGGACAGAAACACGCTCTGGGATACTTGAAAGGCAGCAAGGCGTAGCGGAGAAACATGTTTTCTCGTAATCTACTTCAATGCTCCCATGTCTATGCTTCCGCCCCCATCAACTGGTCCCGATCAGCATGATGAGTTAAAATCAGACAACACCCATGACCTGCATGGCGCGAGGAGACCTTCATCCAGCAGTGGATTGACAAAGTGCTGTATTTGTACAGTCTACGTATGCAAATGCTGAATCAAGGCTAACGGAGAAGGTACGACTGTACAAACGAGATATTAAAATAGCGAGAGACAATATAAACGAGACAGTAAACAAGAGAAGTTTAAAATAATTTGTAAATCGAATCGTGACCACTGAATCGTGACCAGTCATGAAATCACTGTGGAGGTGGGGGGGGGAGTCCTCCCATGCCTAGTGACGAGTGTGACATGTGATGATGATGTGATGTCGTGATGATGATGTGATGATGATGTGATGTGAAGATGTTGTGATGGTAGAGCGGCTACAAGCTTGGGTGGTGGCACCTTCCCGCAGCTGAGACTCGGTCGCCTGACTCGCGGACAAACGCCATTCGGCCTCTTGCAGCCTCCGCTTCAGAGTCGAGTTGCTTCGCTCTGCCGCACAAACATACTGAGAGCACGCAGCAGCACGACACATCACTCGGTGTTATTGTACGTGGATGACAACACGCTACACCATGCAAGTCTAACATGCTGCGAGCACAAGCTTACAACATGTTACATCACGTTATCGCATGTGGAGAAAGAACACACTACTTACTATACCATGCCAGTCTAAAGAATCATTACACGACGCTGTGTGTAACGCGGGGTAGGCTACATGGATCCGAGTGACGTCACACATCATCCAGTCGGATGTCTGTACACACGCTGCTAACAACATCTGGAATTCCACCTCATAAATTGGTTTTGAAAAGAGGAACCATTGTAATGTCGATTCTAAATCTCAACCCCAAACAAGGATGACGCATGGCACACGGTCTGGTGACTCGTGAAATGCACCGTCATTTTGTTGTGGCTGAAATCATTTCAGAATCCAATCGTGGAGATATTGTTTTCATTCCCAGAATTGATCTAGCGCCGTCTGATGTGCATTTACCATTTATTTTGAAGCGAAGACGGTTTCCAATCATCCTGGAATTTGCTATCACTGACAATAAGTGGCAAGGGCTAACGCTCAAGTACGTTTGACTTTATCTCAACGAAACTATGTTTGTCCCCATGGACGACCTTTACGTTGCTTTGTCAAGATGCAAAAATACAATCAACATCAAAATGTTGATTCGATTAAAAAATGAATACAATCTTAAAATTTTGGTATTTTTTAATAACATTACACAAGTAGCAAATGTCACTTTGCATTATTATGTCACTAGCTTTACTACCCGGCTTCGCCCGGGACTTGGATTCACCACGCCCGGCCGCCTTTGTCTCCCCAGTGGCGATGTTCACACACCACACCAGTTACTCGTTTGAGGCTGAGTCGACCTAGGGGAGGCCCATTAATAAACAACACCAGCAAAAGCTTGGGAACGACTGACCACACAATGGGAAAACTTGTCAAACTTCAGTTATACAATCCACATATTTACTTTCGGCGTTCATTCAAAATACATTTTCAAACACTGATGACGCACTGCACCCCAGTGATTCGTTGATCTGACACCACCCAATCATCACTCAACAAACCATCATCACTGAACATTACCTACCAATATTTTTAAAGACATTCTCTATAAACCGCAAACATTTCCTGTGGATGGTCAGTCAGCTGAAACGTCGAGATCTTCCTTTCCAAGCAGACGGACAGAAAATATGGAATCTGTGCAGGACCGCCCTTTCCTGAACCCGCGTGGCAATACCTCACGCGACACGTGCACGTACACACACCCCGGTTGTTTCACTACAACACACCGCCACCTGACAAAGGGAAATTAAATTGAGGCGCCTCATGGTAAAATGCCGACTGATTTGGGGTTTTTCCATCAAACATTGAACGTCAAGCGAGAGCCGTGCTTTTGCCAGACGCCGCTTCATGTGCCCTCCAGCGAAACGTCGAACAAACACGGTCAACATGTTGCCAGCTCTTCTCTCAAAGTTCCCGCCTCCTCCTCCTCGTCGTCGTCTGATTTTACCGAACATCCCAAGTCACACTCGGCACGACTGCGACCACTCGTGGTGGTTGGGTTGTTGGCAATTGTGAGCGAACCCCAAACAACTCTCAATAAAACAAAGACTTGAAATATCGATATTGGCGGTCAGAGCCACGCATCAACACACAGTGGCGGTGGGGGGGCGCTGTGGTATCGTAGTCATACAGTGGTGCAGTTGAAACATCAACCCTCAAGTGGTATCCACGCTAAATGCACAAAGTACACTTTAGTACGCTAAATGCACAAAGTACACTTTAGTACATTAGCGGGCAAGCAGCCCGCTGATGTACTACCAGTATAACCACACTGAGATTTAATATACTGTATGTGACTTGCACTGTAAGATTGTGGTTCTTACAATGCCCTCATGCAAATACAATTTGTTTAAAATGTCCCTCATAATACTAAATTATACGCACATTAGCTATTGCATGCTATGCTTTACATAAAGCTAATGTACTAACTTTATAGTTTTATTACACAAAGCAACATTAAAGCCTTACGAGCAAACGATATGTAACTATCGTTACGTACACCTCTAACAAAACAACTTATAAAACACTTTGAAGGCAAACAATTGTGTAAGGTTAATTATTGTAGCAAGTTATTTTGTGTAATAATACAAACTGAATTTCCACAGAATTGTAATTATTTACTTTTAAATGTCGAGGCTGCTTGCATGACAGGTAAATGATCAAGCCAGATTCCACACTTTAAATAATGCACGACAGAATGACTATTAATCTAAACTTGAAATAACGAGCTACACATTCAATAATAATCTTCTTAAATTACAGAATTCTCTCGCCTCTTCCCAAGCCTCGAATTCCTCCAGCAGCCGCGCCATGTCGCCCCGACTGCCCAACGGACGAGTCCACTACGTCCACACCCCCCCCTCTCACCCACAGCCACTGTGACAATGGACGAGTCCACTACTTACACACCCCTCCCCCTCTCACCCACAGCCACTGTGACAATGGACGAGTCCACTACTTACACACCCCTCCCCCCCCTCACCCACAGCCACTGTCACAATGCACGAGTCCACTACGTCCACACCCCCCTCACCCACAGCCACTGTCACAATGCACGAGTCCACTACTTCCACCCCCCCTCACCCACAGCCACTGTGACAATGGACGAGTCCACTACTTCCACACCCCTCTCACCCACAGCCACTGTCACAATGCACGAGTCCACTACTTCCACCCCCCCTCACCCACAGCCACTGTGACAATGGACGAGTCCACTACTTCCACCCCCCCTCACCCACAGCCACTGTGACAATGGACGAGTCCACTACTTCCACCCCCCCTCACCCACAGCCACTGTGACAATGGACGAGTCCACTACTTCCACCCCCCCTCACCCACAGCCACTGTGACAATGGACGAGTCCACTACTTCCACCCCCCCTCACCCACAGCCACTGTGATAATGGACCAGTCCACTACTTCCACCCCCCCCCTCACCCACAGCCACTGTGACAACGGACAAGTCAACCATTAAATTTCGATTTAAAGCTTTCGTGACTGCAGGGATTCATCTTCTTGGTTCTTTCGGTAAAGTCACGTAGAAGGGAAATAATAAAATTATAAAAATTTTACAAAATCATTCTCACGACGTTTCGGCCACAACGCAAGCAGCCGTCGTGAGCTTGCGTTGTGGCCGAAACGTCGTGAGAATTATGGTTTTTGTTTATAAATTTTCGTGCCGTGACTCAAATATAGACTGTTTTTGTGTAATAATTAAAATCCACTGCTGGATGAGAACGTCAACCCGCATTGAGGAGGCGGAACTCCACACCAACCGCCCATCCCACGCCTCCCTCCATCCTAGTTTGGATTACATAGTCAGGATGCGCCGCCGTGCCTGAGCTTATCGTTCCCGATTGGCTGAAAGGTCGGGAGAGAGTCGAGTCGGAGCCAATCAGGCGGCGGAATCCGATAGCCCGAGCCAATGCGTGGTGGCAATTCTAAAGAGCCCGTTCCCGCCGTCACTCGCGGTTATTTCAAACTGCGCTCCCTTCACGATTCTCTTCAAACTTACAAAACAATTCTCTAGTTTTTTGTTTCGACTTTCGGATTTCTGTTGTCGTCAAACCATCAAATGTGGGGGAGGCGAGCTTCAGCGGGCTGACTGCGGGGGGCGGCTGCTGACAGAGCACCGGAGAGTCCGCGGTGCCAGAGGCCTCTCGCCTAGGCCGGAGCCCGCGCCGCTGCTGCCGCTGCCGCTGCTGCTGCTGCTGCACATGGTCCTCACGCGGTTCGTGAGGAATCTCTTCACAGACATTGACCACTCGGCTCAGGCTGCTGCTGTGCCGCTGTGGACCTGCGACCTCCCGGCGCGGCAGTTGGTGGTTGTAGATGGTTTCGTTGGCAAGAAAATGTCGTAAACTCGCGTGTGGTTTGCGCGTCTCTGCGGATATTGGATGGCAGAATGTGCGCCAGAACAGCGAGCCCAGGGTGTTGGGTGTCGTTTCAGCGTCCCGTGTGTGATGCGCATCGCGTTATATAATTGTGCATCTATCAGCTCTCTGTCCCAGCTGCTTGGACTCGGCTGGAGCTCAAGTGACTGCCACTGAGTCGATCGCATCAGCTGAGGGGGCCCCCAGGTTGTTCCTTGCAAGCGTCTCGAGCAGGGCGATTTGTGATTTGGTCTTTTAAAGCTCTTGAAGGTCGGGCTTCTGTCCATAATAACCACTAAATGTAATGGGGTGGTGTCATAGCGCACTGGGCTACCACATAACGACACATCAACGGTGGCGTCTTCTGCATGATTGCTCAGAGGGGAAGCGTCTGCTGTGGTTTTGAAGCATTTGATCCGAGTTTCCAGCGACGTAAATATGCCTCCGATCAAATGAGATCAGCTGTTAGGAGATGGGCAATGTTTGCGATATTTGTGCCCTGTGAAGCAAAAACTATGTCATCTGCATATATGAACGTCCGAGATCATATTCATGGCAGATAACTCATACTGTGTATGTTAAATAATGATGACACTAGTACCATGCCTTGAGAGAGTCAGTCCATAGTTCATAATTCTCTTTCAGCCGTGTTTACCAGTGAGATGTACCCTGGAAGTTTGGCGTCTCATGGTTTTGGCCAACTTCAGCAGCGGGCCACGATGGTCAAACGGTGCAATCGGCAGCAGATGCGTCAATCATTACCGTGCCAATTTCCTGCTGACGCTGGGAACCAGCCTCAATGTTCGATATCTGACAGGTTCGGGAGGCAGGTCAATAATGGGGGAAAGTCTGGCATGTCACGATACCCAAGTAATAATAGACGGTCAATCGGCCGCTTTTGCGTGAGTTTCTGGGCGTAAATTGTGGGCGATTCCCACCTCTTATATACTTGTGACCAGCATGGAAGAGTAGGCCAAATACCCCCTAGAGGGGCTTTCTTAGAGCTCCTTCTGACGGAGACCCTTCCGCTAGCAGTCGTGAACCTTTAAACTGTATTAAGTTTACAGTACGTTGTCAGCAGAGGGACTTGCGGACAATTCCATTGCGTTGTGTGGTTCTATGCTCCAACGTCTGTGGATCTCCTCGCCTTTGTAAACGTGAATCGACCACAGTGGTGAAGTATAGTCAGGTCACCCCCCCCCCCCCATGACCTTCACTGTGTAGGGATGCCCTCAAGCAGCAGTGGATTGACAAAGGCACTGAACATGTACCATATTAAATACAAATCGCTTTTGTTCACGCGCGCATGGCCTGGGCTTTGTACGCGGGTTTAAAACTCATTCGTAACGACGATGTACTGTATCGTGTTACTGTAACAGCGGTGCAGGGATGGCACAAGAGGGCTCTTGCTCCTAACTGATTTTTAAAGGCTGTTTTATCTGTAAACAGCCGGGGTATGTGTATAATAAATCACAGCAGTTTGTCTTTTGATTTAACGATTAAATAAATTCACCACAATAACCGACACCTGTGGTTAACAAGCACAGGGAAAACGCCCATTGTTGTACTTATGGTATCTGTACTAAAACGAAGTGTTTATCATCATCATCAACCATGATCAATCTACTGCTGGATCAGTGCTCCTCTCGGCTGTCACCATTTCTCCTGTCTCTGCAATATAATAATTCACCTCGCACCTGCACACAGCTGATGCCATCACTTCATTTCTCCAGTGTAGTTGGACGCGTTTAATCCTTTGATTGCCACACCATCATTTGTTTTACCATCTGCTATCATCCCTTCAGGGTAAACGACGTCATTCACCTGCATATGTTCTCAATCCATGTGGGCTTCTTTCCGTGTCTCACGATGTAATTTCAAGCATGCATCTTGCACACTTGTCAGTCTTTATTAAGTGTTTTGCTGTTGCAGTCCACGTTTGTGGATGATATGTCATAGCAGATAGTACACACTAATAACATTTTTGTTATTGTACTAAACATGAACGTAACAGCATGTTAATTCACACATGAGCATTGTTGCACTTATCAATTCGGGACAATGCGCTCATTACAGAAATGAAGCGTAAAGTGGCGCGGTCGCGGAAGCTCCGATTGAGCCCAAACGAGGAGGCGCTGCTGATGAAGGCCGAGTTCGAGAGACGCAGGAAGCTGAGGCTGCAGCAGGTGAGCCTTCCTTATGCTGCACGGCAACTCTCGCTTTGCCCCACAGTGCACCGAGCTGGGGCGCGGGGGGGGGGACCTTTTCCTTCCTGAGAACTTCTAAAAAAAACGTTCTAGTGGCCACGCAATTTGTAGTGAACACGGGAGCGCACTTCCACTCGTGAGAATGCGGCTCTTCCGCTTGGCGTTGCAGGTCCGGGAGCAAGAGCGGAGGATCGCGAGCCAGGTGCGCGAGGATGTGAAGCAGAGCCATGAGCAGCAGGTGCAGCAGCTCACTGAGGAGCTGTGCGTCGAGTGGCACCGTGCGCAGAGGGAGAGGGCCCGGGTGCTGGAGCGGATTTACGCGGCCAACGTCGACGCCATCGGGGAGGGCCACCGCCACGCCAAAGAGAATGTAAATTGTGCCCTCTGCACTCGCTCTCACGTGAGGGGTTTGCTGGAAGGAATGTTGTTATTGGTGTGGACCGAAATGTTACTTGGTCACAGAATAGTCGTCGCTAATTCTTGCACGTTGCTTTGGAGCAATATGGGTTATGTACATACGTTGAACTTCTTTCGCATCATACGCAGCCAACCGTGCTAACCGGAGATGCGGTGGAAGGACAACAACACTAAACACAAAAAGCAGTTCTAAAGAAATGAGTTTTCAATCTCGATGATCTAAAAGTGCACAGCTCCAGTGGCTTCCTAATATCGGAAGGAAGATCATTCCAGACGGCAAAGCAGCAGCAATGACCAATACGTGGATAGCCGTCCACGTGGGAATTGAACATTATTTCCGGTGGAATTTAGGATAAATACAAAAAACAGAATAGCATAAGCATCTTATAGTTTTTGTTAACGGCAAATACAAATCCCTAAGAATTAATACATTAAAAAATCTACCAATAGAGGGCAGTAGTACTGTATGTCCATAAAATATTGCAGGGTTAAATTTGGGTAAATGTTGGTCATAGCTCTCTGGTGGATTGCGGAGCCCGTTGAGGTCCACCAACATAGATCACAGTGCTTGGTTTATTAGCCACCGCTGGGTTGTCCGCATGTATGTTGAACTTGTATCGCTGGGTTGTCCGCATGTATGTTGAACTCATACCGCTGGGTTTTCCGCATGTATGTTGAACTTACACCGCTGGGTTGTTCGCATGTATGTTGAACTTACACCGCTGGGTTGTCTGCATGTATGTTGAACTTACACCGCTGGGTTGTCTTCATGTATGTTGAACTTACACCGCTGGGTTGTCCGCATGTATGTTGAACTTACACCGCTGGGTTGTCCGCATGTATGTTGAACTCACACCGCTGGGTTGTCCGCATGTATGTTGAACTTACACCGCTGGGTTGTCCGCATGTATGTTGAACTTACACCGCTGGGTTGTCTGCATGTATGTTGAACTTGTATCGCTGGGTTGTCTGCATGTATGTTGAACTTACAGCGCTGGGTTGTCTGCATGTATGTTGAACTTACACCACTGGGTTGTCCGCATGTATGTTGAACTTACACCGCTGGGTTGTACACATGTATGTTGAACTTACACCGCACCGTACGTAACCAACCATGCTAATCGGAGGCGAGGGTGATGCACAGCATATATGAGAAGAACTCCGTTCTGGGTATCCACATAGACTTGAAAACATTTGTTTAGTCCATCCACTGCCGAATTAAGGCATCTCTTAGGCAGCGCAAATCTCATGGTCCTGCAGTCTAACAATATTTTATATTACATGGCCAGTTTTTTTTCACAATTGACACGCATTGTCTAATTATAAAAAAAAATTGTACCTATGACCGAAGTTCTCATGGTCTCTGTAATGTCAATGCACTTGTACCTGCATCGTATTTACCCGCATAAATGTTGTTAATTCAGGGAGGGGTGCATTTTACTTTCCGGTGCGTCTATTACTCTGGAGAATACGGTAAAAGTTGTTTATATATTTTATCGAGCGGCGCCGCGTTGTCGCTAGGAGCCGGACCTGGCGGCGATGGCGTCAGGCGGTGGCGGAGCAGCAGGGCCGTGCGGTGGAGCGGCACCGCGGGGCCCTGCGAGAGCTCAGAGTGCAGAGAGAGCGGCAGAACGACGAGAGCAACAGGTGCGGCACCCCCCCTCGCCCCCCTTCACCCCCCCTCACCCCCCCCCCCCAAAGACAAATATCTTCCCTATAGCCTGAACAGACTGTTGGGGCAAGTTCTGTTAGCGAGTAGCGCCTATGAAGGCCGGCACGGCACACGAGGGGGTGGGTGGCCAACACCACGGCCGGCCGCTTTTGTCTCCCCAGTGGTGATGTTTACACACACTATACCAGATACTAATTTGAGGCTGAGTCTACCTAGGGGAGGCCCAATAACGGTTCAGATAATGCTCACTGGTGTTGGCTGTGAGCGGGAATCGAACTCGGGTCGTCAGGTTCGTAGCACAGCGCGCTAACCACTACACTACCGCTCACCCCCCTCCATCCCTCACCTCCATGGGCTGTAGCTGATATGGTGTTATGATTCGCCTACCACCGCTGTGTTTTGACGATATGTTGTGATTCAGGGCCTCTGATGAAATCACACAGAATGAACCCGATTCATCATCAGATATTGGAAGCTAAGTCGGGTTGAGCCCAGATAGAGCTTGCATGAGCAGCAACCATGTGTATAAAGCAGGTGCTGTAGGCTGCTGTGGGACTATGTTGTCAGCAGAGGGCACTGTACCAAAACCATTGTTGTACTGTCCTATGCTTTCAACCAACACTGACCGGCGTGGTGAAGTGTGGTTAAATAACCACCACGACACGCACAGCGTGGTAAGGCTGTCGTCCAACAGTGGATCGACAATGGTTTAACGTCATCATTCAATTTAGGATTATATTTCTCGTTTACGCAGTGCGCTCTGTACCCAGCAACCTGAGTTTTATTTGCAGCTATGAATAACATTGTTGGCGAGTGATATCTGAATAGGTGCAAGGCACCACGTCACCAACGTTGCTCTGACCAGCATGGTGAAGTCAATCTATCCCCATTACACAATTGACAGCTCTTCATGACCATGAGGGTATTTTGTAGGCATGTAATAATGCACCAATATATCAATTAAAATCAAATCATGGCCCCGAATGATGACGTTTCCGTTTCGGCTTGCTTGTGAGTCTCAAGAGGCTGATGTCCATGTTGCTGTGCAGGTTGCTGCGGGTGCGGAGAGAGGTGCTGGGGGTGGAGAGGGAGAGGGCAGCGGTTGTCGCCAAGCTGCCTCCTCCGCAGCCCGAGCCCCTGGAGGTTTTTATGAGCCTCAATTCTTTCTTTCCCTTTGCTTCCCATGTCGACGTTATTGTGGTGTAATAATAGCGAGCGCACTGGACTTGCTATCCAGATTTCACCGTTTGATCCTCTGCTGCGGCAGTTGAAACGATGGGCAGGTTTCTTCAATCTCCCGTGCCTTCTGTGTTCACCCAGCTGTATAAATGATTGGTTGAGGTTTGTGTGGTGGCTTTAAGTGTGGGTACTTCCAACCTTTTCCAAGATGCCTGGTCAGCATGGAAGAGGAGACCAAATTACCCTCTAGCCAGAGGCCTTTCTGCCGGCAGTGGCATGAGCAAGGCAATTTCAGGCCTGCCTCTTTCCTTGTTTCAAAGAGATGAATACGTGCAAGGTTACACTTTTTGCCTCGTCGTAAAAATCGAGAGGTGCTTGCATGAATTGGATGGCTAATCACGTCAAGGAGCACAGAGCTGGCACCGTAGTGGTCCTGGGTTTGAATCCCAAGATTCAGCCACCCGTGATTAAATGGGTTCTCAAATATAGAGAGTCGAGGGTTTCAGTTTTGGTCACAAAGCATTCGTTGTGCCTCTGTTATGGGTAATTAAAGAGGGGCGTTGAATAAACTTTAGAAGTATTCCCATGAGGTCCTATTCTCGGATCTGTCCCTTGACAGGGTAATGTTTGGATTTCGGAGAGAAATGTGAACTTCTCACGACGCAACACCAGCAGCCCCATTCGTGTAATGGAAAGGAAACCACGAAACGTAAATTTTAAGGAATCTTGGACTCACGAAATAGAACTTAAAATTCATTATTGAATTTTTGGTTATGTCCATGTAATAATCTAGCCAAAGCTTGTATCATTTAAAAGGCTCACCAACCACCTACACAGTCAAACAAGTTGTCATCTTTAATGTGCCAATTATTTTTTCAGATCACCAGTTGGTGAATAATAATTCTGACGACCAAATACAGCAATTAAATACGACGTATCATTTGAAACGACGTCAGATATCATTGGGATAAAATGCAAGTCAGAATAAACATTCTGAAATGTTATCTTAATTAGGTTTTGCCAGGCACTCTTGGCATCCATCTGTAATCCAGAATTGTTGTGAAGCTCTCTTCCCGTGCGCATCAAGGTGTCGTACCCTGATTCGCCAAGAGAATGTACAGCGAGCGTCCATCTGTCCCATCTATTTGCCCTCACATGTGTGGGTTTTCTCCTTGTGCTCTGATTCCCCCAACAAATATAGGCACTCATTAATTGCTAAAACTCTTATTCTATATGCGCCTCCTGTTTGAGGATTACGCAATTATTATTAAGACATAACTATAACAATCCATTAATATGTAAACTATAATTCATAATATTGTCTGAAAAACTACGTATCATTGACACATTTTTTATTAAATAAATTCAATAAAATGTGTAATTGATAATGTGACAGACAACTTCACTAGTTCATGATATTGACTGTTCAAAACATTGCGTGTCAACGGGACGTGAAGTTGGTCGCGCACGATGTCATTGCAGAGGCTTGCGAAGAAGCGCAGCACGCTGGTGAAGATGTACGACGTGGAGTGCTTTTCCCAGACCCACTACCACCTGCTGGAGCCTTGCGCTGACCGCGAGATTGACACTCAGCAGGTACGCCCCGCAATTCCCACTTGTTTGCATGCATCAGCTCTGGCCATCTCTCTCAGTAACAGGGGGTGGCGGGGGGTTCACAATAACTATGGTGGCGAGATGTTAACTACCTCACCTGGTATGCAGGAGTTGGTAGGTTCGATCCCGACCCTGACGCGTGTATATTTGGAACTTGTGTGTTCTTCTCGTGGTCGCATGGATTTTTTTCGAGGGTCTTCGGGTTTTTCCCCCTCTACATTTGGCTGCTGTAAATTTCCAAATGTTGATAAGCCACTTCATTGAGCTATCATTTGTAATCCCCAGGTCACTTCTGAAAAATAACTATATATCTATAGCTCAGTGGGCCTTACCTGGTAAAATAAAAAAAGTTTTAGTTTATAATCTTGGTTTGAAGCTTTCGTAACTGCAGGAATCCATACTATTTGGTTCTTTCGGTAAAGTCACGTAGGTATAAAATAAAATTAATCACGCCGTTTCGATCGCAACACAAGCGGTCGTCCTCAGGCGGAAAAACTCTAATCCAGCAGTTCCACTGCTGGAAACGGCGTGATTTATTTTAGTTTATAGGTTAACCATTGGCTCGCCCCGCATTGCCCCATTTGGCGAAGTCCCCCCTGCTCACGTTGCCCATCCCGCGTGGCAGGTGAACGCGCGAGCGGCTGCCGCCGAGGAGGAGCAGAGGCTGCAGACGCTGCAGGAGCAGACGGAGCGGGAGGCCAAGGAGAAGTCGGAGAAGGCGAGGTTGCGCGGGTCGCATGCCCTGCGCATGGTGCTGCTGCAGCAGGTGTGTGTGTGTCGTCTGTGTGCACACACGCTGTGTATACACACACCATCGATGATTATCTGAACCGGTCCTGGGCCTCCCCTAGGTCGACTCTGCCTCAAATTAGTACCTGGTGCAGTATGTAAACATCACCACTGGGGAGACGAAGGCGGCCAGGCGTGATGCTGGCCACCCACCCATTCTTGTGCCGTGCCGGCCTTCATAGGTACTCGCTAACAGCACTTGCCCCAACAGTCTGTTAAAGCTATATGGAAGGGGATCTTTGTCTTTTGTTTTAGCACGTGCAAGTGTCTGCGTGTATTCGTGCGTTTGTAGCTTCACACTGTGGTAAGACCCGGGCGTCTAATTGCTCACCTGCAGGACCGAGACCGGCTGATGCAGGAGCTGGAGGTGAAGCAGCAGGGAGACTGGAGGCGCAGGAGGCAAACCGTGTCCCAGCTGCCCAAAGGTGGGCAGCGCATTCTGCTCCTAGCGATTGTTAAGCACGAAACGATCTTGATTCATTGCCACGATTCTGCGTAATTATTTACTTGAAGATTTTTTTGTTTCCCTGGTACCGTTTGGGCTTGGTCCATGCAGTGCTCATGATGGGCATCAATAGGGGAAGCTCAGTTAAAATTTTGTAGGAAGTGGCGTTGATCGTTATCTTCAGATGTCCTCTTTAACCCACGGGTAAACCACTGCTTGTAGTCTGAAGTTGAGGTCGTTAGGCTCGTGGGAGTTACCCTCGCATGAATGAGGCATGAAATGCAGGTTCAATCTTGACTTAAAGCTTTCGTGACTGCAGGAATTCATATTCTTGGGTCTTTCGGTAAGGTCACGTAGATAGGTTGAAAGAAAATAACATTCTTTCTGAAGACGACCGCTTGTGTTGCGATTGAAACGTCAGTTTTTTGTAATTTTTCGTTATTTTCTTTGAACCTATCTACGTGACTTTACTGAAAGACCCAAGAATAGGAAATGCAGGTTCATTCTGCTGTATTGAAGTGATGAGATCATTTTATAGGAAAGGCCATGTCTTATTTAATTACATAGGACCCTTATATTTTTTTATGAGGGTCCTGCATGGTAATGTTTGGACAATACACATTTTGTCTTAATTCAGTTTAGTTGTGCCTGCTTGGACCAATATGGAAAGTTGCAGATAAAATGTCAAGGTCTTCCTTTAAAGTGTTTTTTTGCTCAAATAATAATTCAATTTCTTTACCCATGACCAACAATTTATGGGCAGTCTTTTATCTAGAAATTGATTGACAAAGCACTAAACATTTTTAATCCATGAAAGACTCCCTGAGTCTCAAAACAGCTTTTCAGGATATTTTTTTACAATTCCGTTGACGAGTGTATTGCATTTGCATGTGGGCGGCAAAATGTAGTAACATGCGTTTAGAGTATTTGTCTGATATACATTTCTACGTGATAAGCCACTTAATTGGGCTTTCATTTATGGCACCGTCGCTTCTGGAAAAGAGCTACTTAGCTCAGCGGGCCTTACCTTTTAAAATAAAACAAAGTTTATAATTTAACGGGGAAAACGCACCACGCATACGAAGGGATGAAACTCCAATGTGTCTGCACAATCAGATTCACAAACCCATTTGCTGTACTGCCATCTCTTGGCCGCATTGCAGACCAGCCCAGCAGGTTTTGGATTTGGACAGGTGTCTTCGTGATCCACTAACCCTCTCCTCCGGAGCGCTGGGTCGCAGGCGTGCGCCACCCCGCCCGACTGACCGAGAGTCTGCGGGCGCGTTGTCCTGCAGGCCTGTTTGACCCACCCCACCGGCGCATTGAGATCCGCCAGGAGCAGCAGAGGGACATGGAGGAAGCCTTCGAGGACCTCTATGCCGGCGGCGCGAGTGAGAGAGAACGTCCTGTGATTGCACATACCACGGAACCTCATCGTGCAACATGTCCTCGAAATTATGTGGATTGATATACCGTGGCCTGAATGAATAAAAAGGGCCCATAAAATAAAACATGAAAATCGCATTCCCAAGGCTCAAAAAAATGTTACAGTGTACAATCGATACTGATATGTTGTTAGCGGTGTCTCCACGCCGCGCAGACGCGTCACACATCAGGCATTCCCGGTTTAGTACCGGAACCGTGCAACAACGTCTGTAACATTGGATTGATCGTTCCAGATTAGGCTTGCGATTTTCAGCGGTTTAGGCGATGTTTTTTTTACCATTCATATTGCTCTTTATATTTGTACAGCAGTGAGTTAGAGACAAACAGCCTCAACAACTGACACGGTGTTGGGAGGCCTTCATCCAGCAGTGTAAATTATATCATCACATCTTGTGCCTGGATGTGACCAGGAGCAGGGAGTCAACAGCACATGCATCTTTGGACTAGGGGTGGTGGGGGCTGTAATTTTCCAAACAATTTCAATGGAATAAACAGCACTGATTCAAACTAAAGGGGAACTGGCAACCCAGTATGTTAGTGATTCACAAGCAGTGTGCCACGGCAAAGTCCCCGGTGTGCCACGGTAGTTTTGGAGAAGCTAAGAAAGACAAACTCTCCGTGCTGTTCAGTGGCTGATCCAGCCCACCCGCTTGGTTGTGACCACCCACCCACCCAGGCCGACAGTGTGCAACAACGGTCGAGCAATCTCAAAAGTGAGTCCCTTGGAATGAAAACGTTTGAGAATAACTGCAGTTGTGTGACCGCAGGATTTGTTTTGTGTTGCAGGGTTGCGTGCCGATCCGAGCCTGCGCCCAGACCCAGACCCTCTACCCGCACCGTCGGTTTGCAGCCAGGACGAGGCAAGTCGCAATGTCCATAATCGCTTGCGGTTTGATTGGCATGGAGAAATGAATGTGCATTGCTTCAGAATGTGTTTTTTTATTGCCTTGTTCTTAACAAATTCGTTTGTGTTGGCACAGACACACGACACTTTGCCACCATCAGCGCAAACTGTTATTAGCGTCCACTTTGTCATTGACATTTACTTTATTAGTATGTACATTTTGTTTCTAAGAATGCTGTAGGAATGCAATTGTAGAGGCAGTTAGCGAGAGGAGCTTGTGATGCGTGAGGTTTACATTCAGGATGGTGGAGGGAAAGTTATCGGGACAGCAACTAAGGGCAACATCTAAAGCCAGACAATGGTGAAGGTGACGTCGTAACATCGGCCATGTAACAACGCATTGACTCTTCGATTAAAGTAGATTCTTATGCTCACGATGCATCAAATTGTTCGGATAAAAATCCATTCGTTTTCAATTTGTGTACATTCCCCTGTTATGGGTTCTTGTGACCCCTGCGGTGCTCTGGTCACCCCAATATTAAAAAAGTATCGATTCTTGAATTGACCTGTGACCACGGATTGTGACAATTCATTTAATCGACAGGTGGTTAATTGTTTTAGTCCTGCTTTAAGTGTATGTTTGGAATTACACTGAGATGGAGAATGAGAAACAAATGGATAGGAAAACATACGCAGGTGAAAGACATCACATTGAGTTTCAAAAAAAGTGGGTTTGGCCTGGACACGTCGTTGCCGGGGTCGATGGACAATGGTTGAGGCTAACGATTTCATGGAGCCACGGTGGCGAAATGTTCACTACCTCACCTGGTATACAGTAGGTCGTGGGCTCGATCCTGACCTTGACGCCTGTATATTTGGAGTTTGCGTGTTCTCCCCGCGGTCGCGTGGACTTTTCTCCGGGTCCTCCGATTTTTCCCTCCACGTTTAGAAACATGTATTTAAGAGTATTTTGCTGCTATACATTTCAAAGAGGTAAGCCACTTGGTTGAGCTATCATTTGTGGCCAGGGTTCATTCTGAAAAAGAGCTACAAGCTTATTGGGCCTTACCTGGTCAAATACAAGTCGGTAACATTTGAAACGGCACCACCGAGGGCTTAGTGTTGCAATACAGTATTTGTACTGTACAATTAACTACACCTGCATTGTCTATCATCTCACTTTGGCACTTGCTATAATTGATCAAATTAGCAAGTCCACCTGTGTGTGTGTCAGTGGGGAGCGGTGGTGTAGCGGTTAGCACGCTGCGCTACAAACCCAACTACCCGAGTTCAATTCCCGGTCACGGCCAACACCGGTGATGGGTCCTTTGTTTTTTCCCTCCACATTTAGAAACATTCAGATGGAAATGTGCGATAGCTTCAACAACATTGACCGTGATCACCCCTTGCCCCTGATAGGAGGCCGAGAAGGTTGAGATTGCAGGACACCCGGATCGCGGCGGGCTGCTCATACGTGAAACGGAGCTAGAATCGGAGGTGGCGCTAGCAGGGGAGGCAGAGGAAGAGGGGGAACCCACGGCCGGGCCCTCTACTGCTCATCCTGAGACCAACAAGGCTGCAGGTACCCATTTCTGCACGAGCGGGTGCAGCCAGCACTGTATCACCAGTGCCATTGTCAGTAACTACTGTCAACTCGGTTATCCTGGGTAAGGTAATAGCAGGGAGGGTGGCCAAGATGAAACAAAAACATGGTGTAATTAAATGATGATTAATTTAGGCTCTACAAGGTACTGGTTACCTACGTAGCATGGGGATGAAGATGTAGAAGGTGTCCTCTGTTTTTATTGTTGCCTATGTAGGTAACCAGTTTACTTTCTGACGTGTTTTCGGTCACATGGGCAATTAAGTCGCTGATCCTGGATAAGTGAGGAGCAGTGCACGATTAAACCAGTCCGCAGGAAGACGTATTTTTCTGGCAAGTGCGGTTTATCTGCGACCCAAATTTTTCACCCACGGGTAATCGTTAGTTAACCGAATCTTCTGAGCTCCTCCATTGAGCTGTGATAATATCAAATGATGAGTACATTCGTACTCATTCGTGCCGCGGTGCAAGGCCATCAAGAAGTTGCTATGCTTCACAGACGAGCGTCGCCTGCAGTAGTTTCACAGCAGTCGTCGTAATGGGTGATGTTGCTCTGTCGCTTTGTGGCTTCACGCCACTAGGTTAGGAAGAGCACGGCCCAGCCAAGTGGCTCCGTTGTGAGAGCGAGTGGATTGCAATCGGAAGGTTACGAGTTAAAATCATGCTTAGGGGTTTACTCGGCCCATCACCCTTTGGAGGTCGTTAAAATAGGTACCACTACATGAGGAAGTGAACCGCGGTTGTTCTACGTAGACTTGCCCCTGCCATAGAAATGTGGAATTTCCACCACTAGCTCGTTTTAGCAGGAAATCACTTTGAACACCCATGAGGTAATCGCCCTTGTTGGGTCCGCATGCAGGAGGAGAGGGCTTCGAAGGCCCCCGTCGGCCTACTCAGAAGGCCCTGAGCCGCCTGCTGGGCCGCATCAACAGCCAGCGTGAGCAGTGGCTCTCTCGGGCCCAGGCAGGGCCCTCTCGGGCCCAGGCAGGGCCCACGCGGCCCGTGGATCCGCCGAAGGGGCCCTCAGTGGATAGAAGCAGAGGACGAGAGCGTTGTGGCCGGGGCGGCCTCCATCGTCCGCCCACGTGAGCGGCTCGACGCTAGGCAGACGCCCGCCACGCAGCGCCACCAGCAGGTTCGGGAGAGCGTGGTGATGCGCGCTCGGTGTGGCGACGTGTCCATTTGTATTCTTGGCTTGCATCTACCGCTTATTGCGGCTGAATCGCCGCAATAAGCGGTAGATGCATAACGATGTACTCTCTCGCCCCCTCGATTCGGTTGTCGGATGGTGCTGGTTTTCAGGCGTCGTTGCTGGAGGAGCAGAAGAGGCAACAGCTGCTGCTGCTCGAGCAGCTGGAGCAGCAGAAGAGAGAGCTGGAGGCTCAGCTTGAGCAGGAGCGCAGTGAGCTGGAGGCCCCGGGAGTGTGCGCACACACGTGGCTTTCTGGTCGCATCCCGCCCGGTAACTCGGCCTCTGTGTACGTGTGTCTCTGCCAATATCTTCATGCCCGTGGCCTCCAGCACTTGAAATAGCAATTATGAGGGCAGTGGCTATGATCAAATAACCTGGACCGCGTCCGACCTCGTTTGGTCTCGGAAGCAAATACGATGGATCGCTAATACCCCTTTTCGTATTTATGTATGTTGAACTTCTTTAGCACCATACGTAATAAACTATGCTAATCGGAGTTGTGGGGAAGGACAACAAACTAAACACAAACGTTTCCACTGGTACATCCGTGCCATGCCAGCGCAGGTTCTCTCGCTGTATATGTGGTTTTCCACCAAACCGTGTTACGCTAGCCTCGCATGACATTTTAATCTGGCTTAGGGCCAAGCAGGGCCAGGGACAGAAGAGGTATGTGTGTAACGTCAGCGGTACGGTTCGGATTCTCCAGTGGAAAAACAGCCAAGCGCCTCCTGAGCTGTGCTGGGATGCTCAGAGCGGATCTCTGTTACACATTCGACAATAAGTTGAAGGGACGTGTGTGTGTGTGTGTGGGGCTTTACAGCCTCCAGGGTGGAAGTCAAGGCACCCGAGCCTAGTCAGCTGGACAGAGAAGCACGGGGCATGGATGATGTGGCGCAGAAGGAGCAGGGAGAGCGATCGGCGACTCTTCCTCGTGCACTTCACTCCCTGGTGACTGGAGAACGGGGGGACACCTGCTGTCACAGTTGGACCGAGCCGTCTCTTCAACCAGGCGTTTGCTGGTTGAAGAGCCACTTGGTCCCACTTAAATAAAATGTGTTTGCCGATTGAAGTAGAGAATTAATTTGGATTGAGTTTATTAGGGCCCAATTGTAGGAACCACTCGAACACCCGCTTGCCCGGTGGCATGGTCTAACTCGTGAGTCGGCAACCAAAATAACAAGAAGAGCCATTTTTCTCGAATTCGGTAAAAAAAATATTACAAGAGCTGCAATTCGTGTGAATATGCGAAACAGCGGTCCTTACTAAATTACGTCACAAAGTAGTCCTTGAAGAGCCACACGCGGCTCCGGAGCCGCAGGTTGCATCACTACTCGCATCTCATCGCCTCGTTGTTGATTACGATCATGTTGATGCTGCTGATGCTGAACTTGATAAAAAAGAAATTAATAAGCTCTGTGATGTAAAGTTTTGCTTTGGACTATCCCTCCCCCAGGACACGACACCACGGGGGGCATTGGAGCCTGCGCTGTCCAGGCCAGATGAGCACACTCTCGCTGTTCGGCTCCACCAGCAGTGGCTCTTGCAACAGAACAGGTGATTCCCACGCTCGCAGATCACAGCAGAGGCCCCTGCCACCCAAGTAGCTCTGAAGCCCCTGGGTTTCGGAGCTACTTGGGTGGTATCTGCTTCTGTGGGCTGTTCTTCAACACAAAGGGTTGCACTGCGAGAGATTCGAATGACTCTGAGAGCACAGTCGGGATAATGTTGAGGGAAAGGGCAAACAAATAAGAAATGATCAACCCATCCAGCTATGAGTTCGAAGTGTTATTTCTGAAATCATGAATCTGTGCACATTTTCAATGTATTCTAGCGATTTGCGTCAAATGCTGGGTACTTGCTTTTAAAGTGAGATTGTTGCTTTTGTTTAATTTCCCTATATTTTTTAGTTTGAATGGACAGGCTGACCAGTGCACTTTGACCATCATACACAGTAGCTCGTTTGCCTCCTCGCAGGATGCATCAGCAGTCCGTGGAGGATGCCCGTGAGAGGCTCAAGGAATACCAGGAGGTGCTCAAGAAGAGGTACTCCGCCATCTTCAGCTCCGCGCCACCCACTGCTCAATCCGTGGCCATTCCTTCATCCGCGGTCACTGCAGCTGCGGCCCCGCCATCACTTCCTGTCAGCGGCCCGCACGGGGTGACAGCACCTCCTTCCGGCGCCTCACCGCTTGCGCCCGACAGAACCGTTGGCGCGTCGCCCTCGGGCGGGGAGGCGTCGCGAGCTGCGATGTTTTCGGATCGGCGGTTGACGGGAGCCGACCTCCCGTGCGTGGACACCTCGCTCCTGCCGTCCCCACGGCCGGCCGCTCCTTCGCTTCCGCTGAGCACGGCGGCCTCGCCGGCGGAGCTCGCGTTCGAAGGCCGCGTCCCGGCCTCGCCATCTCGGCCGCGACAAGCCCAACTTGCGTCCTTCGTGCCCGCTGCGTTCCCGCTGGGCAAACCGCGGCAGCAGAGCAGGGTGACGGTCCCCGGTGCCGAACCGCCGCGACGGCAAACGCAGTCTGACGCTCGAGCGCGGGTAGCACGTGGCGCCGCGGCCTTCTGGTGGAGACTCCCGGAACCCCCCACCGCAGTGGAATTGACAGACCCCAAACAACTTGTCCCGTTCGAGGGAAAGGGCTCGACGGTGCCGGAACCTACGTCACGAGGAATGTTCGACTCTGACCTGGACGAGGGAGGGGCGGCCGCCCCCGGCGTGGGACCACGGGGCCCAGCAGTTCCCTCGTGGCTCGCCGGGCACCGGGGTTCCCTCGCCGGACGAGCGGCGTTGCCAGCCGAGCTCGAGGCGCCGTCGCCGGCGGACTCCGATCCCCCGTGGCCGGCGGAATCTGCACCTCGGCCGTGGGATGCCCGGGAATTGCCAGCGATGCCGACGTGCGGGTGGGAGGGCGAGGGCGAAGTGCAGAGGTGGACGCAGGGTGCTCGGCAAGACGAGGAAGGAGGAGTGTGGAGCAGCGATGAGGGGGTGCAGCAGCAGCAGCGTGACCTATCCCGCTCCACAGAGGAGGTGCGGTAGCCACATTCTGTAGTGTCATTTGTCGTAGTGTGCTTGCAGCAGCATTGTACAGCCTTTGTAATATATAAAGTGCTTTCACTATTTATGATATTATATACCTGCAGCAAGTGTTATGCTTTCTTATTATGTTTGTTAAGTTCTTGTGATGCAAGATAAGTTGCCTAATCAGTCTTGGAATAGTTTGTGCCAATGTATGCTTTAAAAAAAAAGATCTTACTGAAGTAAATTGTTGGGTGTGTCAAGAGCTCATGACAAAATCACCTGTAATGTGCCTTTTTATCTTCAGATCCCGAAAGCTAAGCATATTTTTACGGCTGGTAAATGCTTGCATGCCCACTATGCAAATGGTTGTTATAGTTTTCAAGGCTACGTGGTGGGCAGCAGAGGTGCACTGCATCATAATCATGTGACTACTGCTATCCTCGCAACCCGCAGCAACCAACATGGTTAAATCTGGTCACATAACTTCTGTGGCCCGCAGCACGGCATTGGGAATCGCTCGCTCGTCGGTAAATTCACCAAGGGCTGCACGTGCAATCATGTACAACTACACGTGTCATGAGCTTAAGGATTGATGTTCATAAATGAATCTGCAATTTTCCAGAGCCATTGGATAAGATCTTGATTTAATGATTTAACGTCGGTAGTCTGCACTGTTATACTGCTTCATGGTCTGTATGCCTGGGCGGTGGTGGCTATGGCATGCCTGCAATCCACCACTGTGGAAGCGATGTTGTTGAATCCCACAAATGTTGTGAAGCGGCCTTCCTGTGAGCGTGAATGTGCCATGCCCTGGTTCGCTAGAAGACGATGGTACAGCAAGTGGCCTAATCTCCATCTGTTTTCTGTACGGGGAAATTAGTGGAACCCCCTTTCGCATCCTCCAGTTTCCTCCCACACGTGCTTAAATTGGCTGAAAACATCTCGAAATAAAATGTAATAACCGAATGCAGAACCCTCCTAAATAGAGTAATTGGACTCGATGTGTCTTTCCTGGTAAATAAGTAATTATTATTATTAGTCTGCCATCGTCGGTTTTAACAGCCCGGGTTTGTCTCCCTGCCTACATTGCGCGCTCACCGGTGCTCCGACGCACACAGAGAGGTAACATGCGTGCGTTTGGTCATCGCAGATTGGCGTCGGGGGCGGTGAGAGGCCGGCGGGCGCGTGGGAGAACTCGGAGCTGGCTCAGCGGTACCACCTGATGTCTTCCCTGTTCCGAGCCCTGGAGGGGCCCGGCAGTGCCACAACCCCGGAGCGGAGCCACGCACAGGAGCTGGACCACATTGGTGAGGAGGCAACGGAGCGCGGTGCCTTCAACTTGTTGTCTGGTGAGCGTGGGGACGTCCATGGTCATGACCCAACATTTAAAATCCAATCTTTGTCCCTGTCAGAAGTCTGCCTATCGGTTTGAGTGAGATTTTTTGAATTGTAGTTTGGATGAAGATTGTCGGGTTGTTATTTATACTATGTTTAGGAGGTGTTAGGTTTGCAAGCGTTTACCTTTGGCAAATGTCCACGTAGCCTTTGCACTGGAGTCGGCAGATCAAAAGTCAATGTGCAGAAATGGGGTTACTCGAGCGATCCTGACAGCCACGCGACTGCGGTGAGACATGGACCATGGTGTCTCTATTGGCCTGCCAGCCCTTCTGGAGAAGCCTTGCACTGTTGAGGACCTCCCCAGGGCTACAGACTGCGCCACAGCATCGTCATCTTGTGCCTGATTCTGGAAAAACCTTTAACTGTGGTGGCAAGACATGAGAAGCAGTCTTTTGGTATTGCCCCAGGCATGTTTTGCTCCTGGATTGTTGTTGTTATTGAAATGTAAACATTATGGTTTGACGAGGTAATGGATCTGAGTGTCTTCCTGTTGTAATATCACAGTCTCATTCCGATAAGTGTAAAATAAAAAGGCAGTTCAATTTGCGAAACACTCTAAAATACAGTCATTCTAGTTTATGAAAAATGTATCACAATACAGTAACCTTGGTGAAATAAAATACATGTTTGCGTTACGCATGTTGAACTTCTTTTGCATTGTACGGAGCCAGCCGTGGTAATCGTAGGTGTGGGAGAAGAACAACAAACTAAGCACAAAAATCAGTTCATATGATAAGCCACTTCTTTGAGCTATCGTTTATGGCCAAGTCGCTTCTGAAAAAGAGCTGTATAGCTCAGTGGGTCTTACTTGGTTAAAGAAAAAAAAATTAGTTGGTTGTGTTGGTGTCGTGCCTGTGTCTCAGAGGGCGAACCGCTGCCGGTCGCCGGACCGCTTCTATCCGGAGCTGGTGGGCTCGCGGTGGGCGTGGATTCCGTCTTTCACCTGGGGCGGCCCGTCCGCGAACGGCCCCCCGTGGCCCGCTCACGCCTCGGCCTTCTGGGACTCATCGAGCAACACGAGCTGAGTGCCATCCAGGAGGTGGACACGCCACACAGCGACAAGCAGCGCTCTGCCCTCGGTCAGCACCCACCGTGCACCCACACTCCACTGACACGTCCATCATCGTCACATCCACCGGCTTCTCTAGTCCACACTCCACTGATACGTCCACTCGTCTGGTCTTGCAAAGTGGTCGATACAACTGTTGCACAGACGCTACTATTTTCTTCTTTCACAAAACCAGATATTACTCCCCATTGCACAGCTATTTAGATTCGTCAACAAAAAGATAATTTAGAATTTCTGTACATTTTCATTGGCATTTTATAATGCTTTTGGGATTTAAAAAAATTGCTATTGTTGCATGGTGTTTCATGAAAAACCCTTGGGCGTTAACAGTCCCATGCGGATCTAGAAAGGATGGGTAACCACTGTTGGAGAAGTGAGCTCTCCAGAGCTACCAGCAATGCCGTGAGCAAGTCACAGCAGAGCTGCACCTTGACTGCATCTGTGCGACTGGGCATAGCAAACGCCCTCGCCATGGCGCCACTGCCGTTTCATTTACTCGCAGGCCTGGGCGGCTCGCTGCTGGAAGCGGCCGCGGGCAGCGAGTTTGGGGCCTCGTGCCGGGAGCGACTGCGTTTCTCCGGCGCCCTGGGTGAGGATGAGCGTGAGGAGCTGGGCGAGGACGACTCGTACAGGGACGGGCGACTGGAGGCGTCGTCTCGCGTCTCGGCCGAGGGACGTCCGCGCTCATACTCCCCGGGCGACTTTGTCGGTGGTGGCGGCGGTCGCAACTGGAGGGACGTACTGCTCGCTCCGTCCAGCAGCACGCGGGACAGTAGGTCCCGCCTCACTTCTCGCTACCCACGTTGAGTAAACTTAAACTAAACTTATTTATTTTACCGGGTAAGGCTAACTGAGCTATATAGCTCTCTTTCAGAAGCGACCTCGCCACAAATCTTAGCTCAACAAAGTGGCTTATCACAAGGATATTTATAACGGCCACATTCTCTAAGCGTGTGATATTGATTCTAAATGTAGAGGGAAAAACCGGAGGACCCCGAGAAAAATCCATGCGAACACGGGGAGAGACACACAAACTCCAAACATACAGCAGGTGTCAGGGTCGGGATCAAACCCATAACCTCCTGTATACCTGGTGAGTCAGTTCAAATCTTGGCGGCCTGGTGCCTCTGGTCGAATAAGGTCATGGTCGTTATTGAGTTCAGCATCATCATTGTCTGCGTCATGAGCGTTATCCTCGGCATCATTATCATAGTCATCATTACCATCATCAGCATTGTCGTCACTCCCATTGTCATCAGAATCATCATTATTAGCATCGTCATCAGTATCAGCGATTGCCTCTCGACTGCTGGGTGAAACACAGATGTCGCGATTGCTCATATCTGCAAGGCCACAATCTGTCTCGCTTATGCACATGAACTGATCCCATCGTTCCTGCAACTTGTAGGCGCCTGCTGGTTGCAGGGTGGGTCCCGTTCATAGCTTAATCTCGGAACGTGCAAGCGGTTAGCGTTAATTTTATTTGGAGAGGTCTAGCGCCGTTGTTTTTCAAGACATTACTCCCTACAGAGAAGTGTAGGGACATGACCGCACTCTACGTTAGCTGGTGCCAAACTGTGCCACACACCCTTCCGTATGGCCTTGTATTTTATAACTTTATCGGTGAAGTTATTTAATAACTTTTTCGGTACCGAGGCTCCCATGTACGTTATCGGAATGGGTAAGGGTTATATATTTGGATATCCCGTCTGTAACCTCGTCCTGTTCCATTTTCCAGGTTCAACTCGGTCACCTGCAGTGCCGCTTGGCATTTCCGCCGACGTGAGCCTGGGAATGCCATCTTTCTTCGACGGAAGCCGTCTCCCACACAGCGAGGTTTCCACGCTCTTCCTCATGCATGTTGTTGTTATGGTTGTGCACTGCGGTAATGTCCGCGTCGCGATGATACGCATCGTTTCAACGTGGTCGGTGCTGCGGGATGTCTACCGCAAGCGCCAACTCTGCTCCTTCAGCGTCGTTGGTTTCACGGTGAAAGTAGAATAGAAGCAGCAGAAGTAAACGTGTAAAGAAGGTTGAACAGGTTCAGGTTCCTCTCTGAACTATAATGTCATGTATGTATGTTGAACTTCTTTCGCACAGTACGTAGCCAACCTTTCTAATCGGCCGTGCGGGGGAAGGACAACGAACTAAACACAAAAATCAGTTATAAATAAATTATTTTTCAATCTCATAAAGAGCCTATTTTATCAAACGATGATAAGAATCAATGCAAGTCAAGTGAGTCACGGTGGCACCCTACTGACATCCCTGGTTTTAATTCCTCAGTACCGTAATGTATTGAGGACACAATAACTGAGCACCTGACCATGATTTTGAAGTGTTTTTGTCTGTTCTCATTCATAACGTTTTAAACTTGTTGGAAAGCCCAGAACACAACCTGTGCGCCTGCAAGAAGTATTTGTTTTTTGGGTTGAAATTTCCGTATATGCTCAAATATGGCTGTGCTGTGATTTCACGTCGCGTGCAAGGCATGATGGGAAGACTTACGCTCACAATCGGACCTTTTGCTGTCGAGAACTCACTGTTTGCATGTGTTTTTATTTTCAAAGTTGGCGTCTGTCCGTTGACGCTTGTGTGGATTTGGGATGTTGCCAGACGATTTGTGGACCTACAGTGCTTTGTCCCCTCGGAGGCTGGTGATGGCTGCAGCATCGCAGGCCGATGATGAAAACTTAGCCAAATCTGACCCTGCTTCTGGGCCCCGCGCCCAGAGGAGAGTGGGGCTGATTGCTCATTCCCGAGAAAAGCATTACCTCTGAGCCTGAGTTCGTCTGTGTGTGTGTGCGTGTCCGCGTATTTGTGTGCATATTTGCGTGCGTGTGTGTGTGTCCGCGTATTTGTGTGTATTTGTTTTCACTTTGTGATGGTTGGTGTTGTGTCGCGTGTTGTTGTGTATAGTTGCGCTTTTTTGTTTTTCTCGCTGTGTATTGTCGGCGTGTCTGTGCGCTGTGTAACACGGAAGTGTTTTTGTTTTGCATCTGAGCAATGATGACCATAAACTGTTCCTGACAAGAGACTGCCAACGTGCAGACTCCCCCGTGAAGTTCTCTACACTTGAACTGAGCTCAGATGCAGGCCACTGTGTTATTATCCATTGTCACTCATTGATACGGTGGACCTTTCATTTCACAACATGGCTTATTCACCAACATCATAAGGCAAAATATTTATTCTGAATGTATGTATGTTGAACTGCTTTTGCACCCATACGTAGCCAACCGTGCAAATGGGAGGTGCGATTGTAAGGTAAGAGGACTACAAAAACCTTGGTCTTGCTTCAAGGACAATGTTTGCAAATCTTATAAATGCTTATGAGCTCACTCAATTATCTCGTTATACCACATTTTACTTTTTTAGTCAAATAAAAAAATAACTGTATTGGACAGCAGTACACAAGCACGCTGCCGGGTGAATAAAGGGTATTGTTATTATGTATTAATGGCATTGCTGTTGCATTTCTGTCACCATGGCTGTCCACGTCTTAAGGCATCTCCCAGCTACGTGGAATGGCAGACCCCCGCAGAGGCCCGGGCCTCCCTGGGGAAACACGCAGCCGCTTCTCTCTCGGCCTCTTCTCCCTCGGCCGAGTCTCCCGCAAGCAGCGAGTCTCTGGCCACCACCTCCCCAGCCTCGGGCGCCATCTCCAGCGGCAGCCTCGTCTCGCTCTCCAGCGGCCGGCTGAGCCAGGGTGAGTGGCACGCTGCCGCGAGTACCTGGCAGTGAAGGTTGCGTACGGCGGTGGTGTGACTACGTGCTGGAAGCAGTGGCGTAGTGGTTAGCGTGCTGCGCTTAGGACCCGGTGGCCCGGGTTCGATTCCCCCTCACGGACAACACCGGTGACGGTTATCTGAACCGGTACTGGGGCTCTCCTAGGTCGATTTGGCCTCAAATAAGTATCTGGTGCCGTGTGTAAACACTGCCACTAGGGAGACGAGCCGTTGGGGCGTGGTGCTGGCCACCCACCCCCTCGTGTGCCGTGCTGGCCTTAGTCGGTGCTATTCGCTAACAGCGCTCGTACCTGCCATTTGCTGAGGCTATAAGGGTGATCATTGGTAGGGTGGCTATTAGGGGGTGATCCTTGTTGGGGTTGCTAAGGATTTAGGCTATGTGGTGCTGCAATCTCATGGTTTGCCAAAGAGCAGGGGTAATGAACCTTTCCCTGGCTGAGGGCCCAATAGACCTTTCAAATACTTGTTTACACGGTAGACCTGCAGTCTCAAGGTTGCTGCTTCGATCTCCCTTTGTTGCAGTTGAAACAATGGGAAATGTGCCTCTTGGTCCACCCCCCCTGTTGCTGTCCTCCCAGATGTAGGCGCACACAGAATTCAGAGGTTGCGTGCGTTCCGAGTTTGGGTACTCCCACATCATCCAAGACGTTTGGCCAGCGTAGAAGAGTAGGCCATATAATTATGATAATTGACACTTATTAGGTGTCTTTCACAATGTCTCAAGGTATCGTGCATCAAAAGGACAACGAAAATAAATAAGGAACCGGTTGGCAACAGAAGAGCCAGAGAGGAGCAAAGCCAATTATAAGAAGGTTGTTTTAAAGGAGACGTGTTTTCAGTTGGGAAATATCAACACTGTCGGAGAGCCTGATCTCCAATGGTCGGGAGAGCCACATTCGGGGAGGGGGGGGCACCAGTCGGGAGTTCCACAACCTGGAGGCCACCAGTAGAAGTTCCACCACCAGGAAGCCACAAGTAGGCCGCTTACTGTAGTTTGTAGGCCTTTCTGCCAGCAGTGGCGTGAGTAGGCAATTGCAGGGCTGCACCGTTACCATGTTAGAATTTATTTTCATTGATTTTATTTGAACGGATGCTGCATGTCAATTGATAGAAACGCTTGGGGAGGACGGGGCGCGGGAGGTCTGGGCGAGGCCGGCTGCCGCTGTGGGCGGTCTGCGTGGCCCTCCGGCCCCACCAGGCGGCGGCCAACAGGGAGACCCTGACTGGATGCTCTTGCCACACGGCCCGCACTGTGCCGCCCCGTCTGAGCACAGCTCCATCTACGAGATCATAGCCAAGTACACGCAGCCAAAGCAGCAGCAGCAGCAGCAGCAGCAGGGTGCCCAGCCGTCGACGGAGCCGCGCGTCGCCCTCTCGCATGGTGAGTCCTTGCTGTGGCCCTGCTCACCGATGGTAACTACCTTGCCTGGTGGTATACAAGAGGTCATGGGTTCCATCCCAACCTTGAAGATGTCTGTATAAATCTTGACTTAAAGCTTTCATGACTGCAGGAATTCATATTCTTTGGGTTTTTCTGTGAAGTCACGTAGATAGGTTCAAAGAAAATAATAAAAAACTAGGACGTTTCGATTGCAACACAAGCGTTCGTTACGAGGAAGATGACGAACGCTTGTGTTGTGATCGAAACGTCGTAGTTTTTTGTTATTTTCTTTGAACCTATCTACGTGACTTTACCGAAAAACCCAAAGAAGATGTCTGTATATTTGGAGTTCGCATGTCTCTCTCCCTGTAGTCGTGTGGATTTGTCTCCGGGTCCTCTGGTTTTCCCCTCCACATTGAGAATCAACTTGCGTTTAGAGTAATTGGCTCCTATAAATTTCCATGTGATACGCCACTTTGTTGAGCTATTATTTGTGGCCAGGTCTCTTCTGAAAAATAGATATTTCGCTCAGCGGGCCTTACCTGGTAAAATAAAAAAAAGTTTAGTTTTAGTTCCAGGCGTATCTTCTAAAATTACATGTGCCGGCTTGTATTGCGGAGTAGATATAAAGTTGTTGTGCAGCAGTGTGCCTTTAAACCCGGCATCCCGCACTCACCACTGTAGTGAGTATGGTCAAATAACCCTCGCAACCTGCACGGTGCTTGGAGGCTTTCATCCTAGCAGTGTAGGTCCCGTGATGCATAATGACATCACGGGACCTACCTGGGCATCATGACACGTGTACGAGACGAGATGTTGTTCGTCGCCCTCTCGGCCGCACCTCCACCACGGCCGGCAGAGCCTCCGGCGGGGCAGGCGGAATCTACCGACACGTGGGACCCCAGTTTCGACGCAGGGCCGGACCTGAGCCGCGTGGACGCCGGGGCCCTGGAGTTTGAGCCTCTGGCCGCAGGGCCCGACGACACCCTCGACACATCCTCGCTCGCCGGCGACGCGCGCCCCTCGCAGGTTCACTCTTATTTGTCGCTTTTACTTTGATTTATCAAACGATATCTGGACATCTTAGCATTAGACGAAGAAATCACGAGTGCCTCTCGCAGGCTTGTGTGCAAACCTGTGCGTTCGAGAACGGCCCGCTGAAGCGGATACCATCGAACTGCAAGTGACCTCTCGTCTGGACAGTAGAGGGCAGTACTTTCCCTCTCTTCCACCGAGGGCAATGTTCATTGCGTCGCATTCAAACTGATATTTGTATTCTCATAGCTGGAATTGAGACCTTCAACTCGCTACGCTCCTGATGTACGATGAGGAAGATTGATTAACTTTTTGACTGTGAAGTCACCTAATTTGTGGAACTGTCACCGATGTATTGACGATTGTGCCTCCACCGTCTCCTCTCCCAGAGTCTGGCACTGTCTGGCACCGGCTCAGGGCTCAGTCGGATCTCGGGTACGTTGTCCGACTCGTCTTGCCCGAGCGCATCCCTCTCATCCGCGCTGAGTGTTGAGTCTAGCCACCCTGGACATCGCGAGTCCCAGCCCCAGTCCAGGGAGCCAGGTAAGACCCGCTGGGTATCACAGTCGGTTTCACCTGAAGTGTTTTAAACTACGGTAAATGCTCACGAAGCTAGACAAAAGAATGTGTGTTGTGGTTCACACACTGCACTGGGAAGCCAGCAACCAGAGTTTGATTCCCAGCCATGGCTAACATCAGTGGCGAGCGATATGTCTGCATTGGTACTGGCGCCAACCCACGCTGACCAGTTTGGTCCAGTATGATTAACAACCCCCCATTGACAAAAGGCTAACACTAAATGTATTGTGGCACTGTTTTTAGGAATTTAACTTCGTGACCACGCGCGCGGGATTTTGACGTTTTGCTCGTCGCATGACAGACGAGGACGACGACCCTTCCTTCCGGGCGCTCCTGCCGGAAGTGACGCTGGGCGATTGCAGCCTGGTCACACAAGACACCTCATCCAACTCCCCTTCCGGTGCCTCGTGCTCGGTCAGCAGCCCCGCGGGGTTGGCCGAGGGCGGCACCTCCGACACGTCACACGTGGCGCCGGGGCCCGACGAGGAGTCCTCCGGCGGGAGCGCGGCCACGCTTGTGTCCGTACCGAGTCGGCCTTTGCCGCTGGCCACGGGAAGCCTGCAGCGAAGCTGTACGCTCGCAGCATCCAGACAGACGCAGCAGCCGCCCCGTGGCGACGACGACAGCGTGTCGGCTCGCAACACGGACACCACCGGAGCCTCCGACCGACCGAGCCCGGACGCGTCGTCGCTCCCCGAGCAAGCGCTCCTCGCGACGGTCGACTCGCCCTTGAGCGAGTACACGCTGGCGGAACACTACAGCAGCGCCACCGCGCGGTCGGATCCCGAGCTCAACCGCGCCGACTTCCGGGCGTGCGCCGCTTTCAGCGACTACGGCAGCAGCTTTTTGAGTTTGAGTTCGGACTGCGGCGGCAGCGGAGTCCCGGCAGCGGCAGTGGGCGGGAGCGGCCGGGCCGACGAGCGCGTGTGGTGTGAGCTGGCGAGCAGGCGGGAGGGAGGCGCGGGGGCCGGGTGGGACGTGCTATCGTCGGGGGAGCTGGGACGGCAAGAGGAATTCCGTCGGATGGATTCCTGCTCGGCTTCGTGGAGCCAGGATCTCTCACGGCTGCTCGCCTTCCCCGGCACGCATGTGTGGGTGGGTACGAGCTGCGTGCAGCCGATCGTGCGCGCGTTTTAAATACGATGTGAGCGTCATAGTGCATGTTGGATAATCGACTACAAAGCTTCGTAACATATCACCCTATGTAACTGCATTGTCATAATGCGGATTCACGATTCAATTCTTAAACATTTTATATTTAGTTTTTACCTTCTTTGTGTTGTGTGTATTGTTCGTACTTTTTTGTCTTGTGCTTACATTTTTACCAGATGTAACCTAAAAGTACCGTGTGGACATTAGCTTATAGTTTTCAAAAAAAAAAAATTACATTTTTACACATGAGCATAAACATTAATTGTAATATATGAATTGATGCAACGTTACACACGTAGGATTTCATACAGACCGACTTGGCACTGCCGGGAACCTTCATTGCTGGCGGTGGGGGCAGTGTACGAATAAGCAGCTGGGGTGGGGAGGAGGGGTGTGTGACGGGGGTGCGGTCCCTCGGCAAGCGTGGGAGGCTAAATGCTGCCCTCCCCTCTTGCTTCTCCCCCACGCGGGCGTCCAGGACTCGGGCCAGGAGATGGGGATCCTGGAGGAGCCCGAGTTGACCCTGGTGACCCTGACGGACACGGAGTCGAGCGTGCAGCATGAGCTGTCGCTGGACGTGACGCTCGAGGGCGACACGGTAAGCGGACGCACGTGACCGGCGATATTCCTCCCGATCGCTCCGTGTCTTTGTCTCCGACGTGAAGTTTGTTTTTTATGATGGTTGCTGAGCACAAGCCCAAAACCCCCTAAATGTCAATTGTTCAGCAACAAACAGCACCTTTGAAGGTGTAATAGATAAGAGTTCATGTTTTATCTTTTTTATTGAGCAAGGTTATAAAAACTTGGGTACAAAGACAATGGGAGGGAATTATGTGGATTGAACAAGTGGCAAAAGGGGTGTTACATAAACAAATATATATTGTACTGTATCACTCTGTAACGTCTTTGCTCCCCCGCCTTCAACCACCCCGAACTGGCCAGCGTGGTGAAGAGTGGGGAAATATCCTCCAACGAACCGGCAGACTTTGGGAGGCCCTTATCCAGCAGTGGATTGACAAGTGTGATTCATGCATCGAGAGGGCTTATCTGAGCCTCACCTATATGTTGACTTGGCCTTAAAAAATAAAATATCCTCGTGTTTTGCTTAAGTTTGTGTTTTTTTTCGCACCCCTGATTATCACCGTTGGCTACATCCGGTGCGAAAGAAGTTTTAACACACATACCATGGTATCATCACTGGGGAGACAAAGGTGGCCAGTTATGGTGCTGATCACATTCCACCCCCTTGTGTAACTGCCCCAACCTTAACAGGTGTTCTCCAACAGCTATTATCCTAACATTGTATAAGGCCCGATAGCCAGAATAGAAAACCTACGACCTATAGGATGGATACGGTCCGCGACTATATTGCATCCGGTTCACAGCCACGTGAGGACTACTACTTAGACACGGCCTGCAAACAATATTTGTCAGCATCCCAGCCGCATGACTCGGGTAATAGAGGGGAATATCTTCGACCTGTTAACGCTGCGTGCAGAATTTTCACGCAATCACTTTTGGTCGCTGCAAAGTTCTTCTTGCAGTGACTGAAGTGGGTACGCCAAAAGTATTTACGATTCCTATTCGGCCCTCGGTTTGTCAGGAAAAGGTTCCTCACCCCTGCTATATCGGATCGAACTTTGCACGTAAATCTTCTCCCAGATTGACGATGCTGTCATCTCGTTGCAGCGACCGCCTGCTGAGGACGATGAAGTAACGGGGCGGACGCCAGGCCGTGCTACGGATTCGCCGGGACAGCAGCAGCCGGGCCCGAGCGCGTCGCTTCAGTCGACAAGCGAAGGTGCGCGTCTCCGCTGGACGGTGTTGTTTCTTTTTGTTTGCATTTTGACGGCTTGTGTTGTGGTTATTGCAAACATGATGCCTTGTATAAAGGTGTCAATTTTTGTACCAGTTGAAAGGGTAAAAAGCTATTACTGTACAAAAATCCATCGCAGCAAATTTGGTTCTGTTCTCAATTTACTTAATTTCTGTTCTGGGAAATGAACATCAGTTTCACTGTCATCAGATGAACATTTACTCTCATATTTATCAGAGCAGGAGGGAAATGCGTAGTCACTTAAAATAATATCCGAGGTAGCTCTGTGATATCCGCTTCCTCGAGCAGTTATCAAACACGAGGGGTTGCACTGCTCTGCGAGAGATCCAAGTGAATACTTCCTTTCTTGACATTACGCCGATAGCCGTCACCGGGATGAACTGGGGAAGTTATTTTTTTAAACGTACAGACGCGAACATTAATTAAAGTGGCAACGTGTCTGCCTGCCAGTGGTCGTGTCGGGCTGCGGACACTCTGCGTCCAGCTTGCAGGAGGCGTTCCAGCGGAGGAAGCGGGACTTTATCGTGCAGTCGGAGAAACGCGTGCGAGAGGCGAGGAGGAGAGAGCAGGCCGTGCCCAGCGCCACCGCCCAGCGCGCCAGGGAGCGCAGCGCCAGGGAGCGCAGCGGCAGGGAGCGCGCGGGCGGCGCTGCCCCCGCTAAGCTGGTCGACGGTGAGTCGGCTCATCCGCCAGGTCTGCACGACTCATTAACGTCGTCATCGTTGGCTATGATCTGTTCACCGCTGGATGAAGGCCTCCGCAAACCATCACCATATCTCTGTTTTCCCAGACCCATCTATTGACCGTTGTTGTACCTTTGCGCTCAAACAACCATCCGTGTCAGAAAGAAAATGTTCTGCTTTGTTTCCATGGGTTCCATTATATAACGAGTTTTTTTCTGGCCACATTGTCAGCGGGAGTGGCTATGATCTATCTACGGCTGGTAGTAGCTCTCCGTGAGCCGTCACCCTCTCTCCTGGTCACGCTATACAACAATCCAGCTATTACCTACTTATGAGCTGCTTTCATTGCTCCATTTCTGCAGCAGACGTACTCTTGGCCATGTTCCCTCTTTTTGGCTGCCACTGTCGTTTTTCTTGACCATCGGCTATAAACCCCTTTTAGCGACGTGCACTACCCAAACCCACTTGCTTTACTCAACGGTCAATATGACATTTCTTCGATTGAACGAATGTCACGTGTGCGTGTTTGTGTGTGCGCGTGTAGTTCCCGTGTCCGCCCAGAAGTGCTCCCTGAAGAAGGTCGGGGAGGTAAAGGTGGTCACGTCCGCCGACAGGAAGAGCGCGGAGGAAGAGGCTGTCAAGAGGACGGCCAGGTACCTGGGCCCGTCGTGTGCGCTCCCGTTGTTCTGTCTGTGACCTCGCTGTCAGCGACACACCGGCTGTGTTTACATGGCCCGGCGAAGACCGCGCTTCATTGCGCTATGCATAAAACGGGCAGCATTTAAGTGTGCGCACCCAAACGCAAACAAATGCTACGCTACTATTATTATTGTTGTGCTTGTTTTACCCAGGAAAGCCTCGCTCAGTCTCAAGACTCTATTTGATGATGGGTCCTGCCAGGTTTTCGGAGTAGGGGCTAATGTTGCCACGTGCATTCCCAACTGAGTAACCTGCAGGCAACTCCTCAGCAGTGAGATGTTTGGCCAATTCCAGTTACAGTTTGCGTTTTCTCTGTGCTGCGGCTATAGGAGGAAAGCAGGTATAACTGAACTGTACTCCCACTCATCTCCCCCCCCCCCATTTGACATAGTAGACCACAGACTCTGAGCTCTTGGGCTGGCTCACAACTGGCCCGAGGGAGGCCTGGCTGCTCACTAGGACTGAGAGCTCTTCTCTGTGACAGTAGCATGAGCAGCACAGGCTTGTCTTCAAAAGCACTGCTGTCTGTCATTGGTGAAATGTATCAGTGCTTGGTGTACAATGATGAGCAGGGCCGACAGTAGATTTCACGACGTATATGCTGTCACGTAAATGTGCAATTCACCAGGGATGTAAAGATTCTTTGATTACATTTATTCTTAATGGGGAGGTTGCCAGGTGGCGAGATGTTAAATTCCTTGCCTGGTATGGAGGAGGTTGTGGGTTCGATCCCAACCCTGACACCTTTATATTTTGAGTTTGCATGTCTCTCTCTCCGCTCCTGGTTGCGTGGATTTTTCCCCGGGTTTTTCCCTCTACATTTAGAAGCACCACGCGTTCAGAGTATTTGGCTGATATACATTTCCACATGACAAGCCACTTCATTGGGCTGTCATTTGTGATAGGCAGCTTGCTTCTGCAAAAAGAGCTACACAGCTCAATGGGCCTTACCTGGTAAAATAAAAATAGTTTTTAGTTTACAATTCTGAAGGGATTCTTGGTCTTAAGACATTCCCGGATTCAAATCCAAGGATCTCACCGGGTGTGCCAGCTCAGCAGGGCTCTAACCTCCAAGCCTCTCGGCCACCTTGGGCATTTCTCACTTCGAGTGAATGCCACTGCAGGTTGTACGAGCGGCTAGAGGAGGTGAAGAGCAAGAGGGAGGCGGAGCAGAGGAAGGACGTTTCTACCAGGAATCGCGAGAAGGCAAAGGCATTCCACCAGGTGAGAATTACGGCACAAACTACCGCATGCGACGATTCTTAAACTCCTTATCGATTAAAATTGAATCTCCCTGGTGGTACGTGTTTTATAATCGTGCATCGAAGAATGTTGCACCTGCGAATCGCAACACTTTTTAAATATATTATATTGGAGATAACGATGAAAACAAATGAAACAACCAAAATACTATTTACTACAAATGAGTCGGCAAAATGAGACGGGACAAATTCAACTGCACAGTGGACCAACGGCAGGAGAGCGTATGGACAGAAAAGGCTGTACAGACAGTAGAAATTAAAAGTGCAAATGAAACTCATTAAAATGTACGAAAAAATTATGTTAAATTCAGTATCCAATCCATATTAACGTCCTCGCTGGCCTCTATTTGTGCTCAAAATGTCGCCTCTTATATTTGTATTTTAAGGCCGCAGTGTCATTAACCAATTAGTTGAGTTTTTTTTTTAACACTGAAATTAGACTGACTACAAATGAGACAAACATTGGAATCAATTATCGTATTGAATCGTGACCCCTAAATCGTGATGAATCATCGAATGATGGGAGCTGAATCATTGCACATGTCGTGCAAACCAACTCCCCATTGGTCCATTCAGAGCCCCAGCTGAGAGTGAGCGGCGCTCCATCATGTGAGCAGTTTGTGATGTGTGCCATCGGATGTGGAATAATAGACTTAAGGGGCACATTTCCAAAGAGTTTTCACGAATCTATAAGTAGAGTCCTCTGTATATTATGGATGTCAGGCTAATATTTATAACGCACCTTTTAAATAAAATGTAAAAATTAAAAAGCCAGTGGTAGTCTTTCTGCAATCTTTTCCGCTCGGAGTAACTTTGAAGTTGGCATTCGCAAACCGTGCTTCGCATAACTAATGTGCGCTCGTTTGTTTCTGATTTCTCTAGAAAACGCTGGAAAAATTGAGGAGCAAGAAGATGTAGCAGGGACGGGTATCGATTGAAATCGTGCGTGCGTGTGTTTTTAATCTTGAACTATTTATTGACGTGTTCACTTAAATGTACTGTAATGATTCGTGTTTGTGTGGAAAAATTCCCTGTTTACAAAGTAGTCGTGGGCCTTTGGATGTGGCCTACACACATCCCGTCCAATGAACGCCGGCGGGATGTTTTACTTGTGAAATAGTTATTCACGAAAATTACTTTACACAAACCTCCCCCCCCTCCCCCCCTGCTTGAAGTGTTCCACACCGGGTGTAGTTCTCATGTTGATACTGCGTACCTATGGGCTAATTCGGCTGTGCAGTACCAGTCTCTTGTGGAAGCCGGTGATTCGTGATTGAAGGTAATGAGATTACTGTGCTCCTTAAATAATGTCAACAGACTGCAGTACCGATGATTATCATGCTTCATCTTAAACCTACTCATGCATATCCATATACGCTGTGAACAGGAGAACATTTACTTCTTCAATAATAATAATTTACAGATCTGTCAATTTGCTGCTGGATAAATGCTCCCGCTTAACGCTTTGGCGACGGGGGTGCTGTTTGACCATACTTTACCACGATGGTCAGTGTGGGTTTGTTAAGGTTAGGAGTCGGTACCAGTTCAGATATCACTCGCCATGGCGAAGAATCGAACTCAAGTCGCCAGTTTCAGAATGCAGTGCACTAACCTCTGCGCCACCGCTCCACCGCATTGTTTCCACACCAGCATTAGCATAATCTATAAGCATTCCTTCAACAACACATTCCGTTCTACAGTCCTGTGGTTTGATGTGCGCCGGTGATAACAGTTTGCAATAAAATGGGAATAAATCTTTGTTCAAAAATGTTTCATTTGATGGGCTGTCGGTTCTGCATATACTGCGTGCAATCTGTTCCAAGTCGAGTGTGTAGCTCGTCTTCAGCTATCTTCAACCAGATGTTCCAGCGCGCCCTGCGGTCGAGTATCAGAAACATCGATGTGGAACAAAACCCCTGAGCGTGCGTGGATTCACTGCCCAAGGAGACGGCCACACTGAACCTGATGCTGCTCGCGGATTGATGACGCGGAACCATGCCTATCCAGCAGGAGGACGCCTGGCTCGGGGCGACACCGAGCAATATTTACACACGTGGGGGGCGCCGGGGTGGCGAGATGTTAACTACCTCGCCTGGTATGCAGCAGATCGTGCGTTCGAGCACGACACTGACGCCTGCTGCTGTATATTTGGAGTTTTCGTGTTCTCCCCACGGTCACGTGGACTTTTCTCCGGGTCCTCCGGTTTTTCCCTCCACTTTTAGAAACATGCGTTTAAGAGTATTTTGCTGCTATACATTTCAAAGAGGTAAGCCACTTGGTTGAGCTATCATTTGTGGCCAGGTCTATTCTGACAAAGAGCTACAAAGCTTAGTGGGCCTTACCTGGTAACATACATGTAGGTCACATTTGAAACGGCCCCACCGAGGGCTTAGTGTTGCAATACAGTATTTGTACTGTACAATTAACTACACCTGCGTTGTCTATCCTCTCACTTTGGCACTTGCTATAATTGATCAAATTAGCAAGTCCACCTGTGTGTGTGTCAGTGGGGAGCGGTGGTGTAGTGGTTAGCGCGCTGCGCTACAAACCCAGCTACCCGAGTTCAATTCCCGGTCACGGCCAACACCAGTGACGATCATCTGAACCGGTAATGGGCTTCCCCGAGGTCAAATCAGCCACAAATGAGTACCTGATGCGATGTGTAAACATCGTCACTAGCGAGACAAAGGCGGCTGGGGGTGGCCCTGGCCACCCACTCCCTCGTGCCGTTCCGACCTTAATAGGTGCTCGCTAACAGCACTTGCTCCAACTGTGTGTTAAGGCTATACGGGGGATATTTGTATGTAGTAATCGACAATCTTTGTTTCACTATTTAAAAATGAGATTACAATTATCCATCGGCCTCTGGGCTTTGTGGAACAATGAGGCGGGCTCTGCCGGTGCGTCTTGGCAAGTCCAAACTGGTTGTGAGTTTGTTGCTTAAAAACCGACGGAAAACAAAACTTTCCCCATCGGTTGGTGAACCAAAATTCTGTATTTTACAATACGCATGCATCAGACGGGCATCGCATTTGATGAAGCACAAACACGTCCCAACATGCATTTAAAACATGTCAACGCGCAGCAGACTGAAGACCTTTAAAACCAGGTAAGGTTGTTACTTTAAAAGTCCATTGAGACCAAAATGATTTTTAAGGGAGACTTGGCTTTAAATAGGAAGAGCAAAATCGATGCCAATTCTAAAGTGTAAACGCAATTACGAAACCAGTATTCTAAAAATAAATCGCATTATTTTGGGGCATCTGCCGAGCTTCTGCGCGAAGGGCGAAACTTGAATGTCTCGGATTCGTGAACGACGACGACGGAAACGTCTTCGGGTGGTTTATTTGACCCACCGGGAGGTGTTCTGTGACGCGTCCCAGTTGTTCCCGCAGTCCCATCGTGGAGCATCTCTCTCCTCCGAGCCCCCCGCCTGTGAAGTTAGGGGGCGAAGTTGTGTTGCTACGCAATGGGGTTCGTTGATGACCACTGTCTCGCATCGCTTCTTCAGCTCGTCGTGTTGGGTCTGTTTTTAATAAAGTTTGTTTTAATGTTACTTATTAAATGGAGGCCACCGGACTGCGCCACGGAGCTTCTAGCGGTAAACAAGGCACCGTATTTACCGGGTAACACTTCGCGCTACCTTTACCCTACCGGGTAATTCTTGCGAGCTACCTTTACCCTACCCTTTACCTTACCCCTTGGCATGTCGACACCTTTACCCCTTTTACCCGGTAAAAAGGGTAAATTCCCTTCCCTTGCCGAGAGCTATTGACCATGGCACACTCCCTCGGCAGGGAGGGTCGTGACCCCGTCCTCACCACCACCCCCCACCACCACCCCACCCCAACCACCCTCACCACCACCACCCCACCCCCCCACCACCACCCCACCCCCCCCACCACCACCTCACCCCCACCACCACCACCCCACCCCAACCACCACCCCACCCCAACCACCACCCTCACCACCACCACCTCACCCCCCCCCCACCGCGGCGCTGCTGTGCGGGGACTCTGCGCGACCGACAGGGGGCGCGCTGTCCCCCCGCGCTGCCGCGGAGGCGGAGCTCTGGGCCGGCGGCTCCAGCAGCAGCAGCGGCAGCGGCGGCACGGGGGTCGGGCAGCAATCGGCGCGACCCGTGCGCGTTACGTGCACCGCCTCTCGCCGCCGCGATGTCGCCTTGCTTCAACCACGCGACCCACGTCATATTCGACATGGACGGCCTGCTGCTGGGTGAGTCTCCCCTGCCCCCCCTCCCGCCTGCACTCGCACACGGCCAGGCCCGCCTGGCACAGCCACTGCTCGATGGAGGCCTCCACCCCCCACCACCCACGCCGGTCGATCGTGGAGGGGGATAGGTGGGGCGAGGGGGGTTATTGTCCGTGGTGGTGGTGGCGAGGTGGTGGTGGAGTTGCGGGTTGGCGCTGCCTCCTGGTATTCGCGCCACGGCGTTTCGGTCGTGACCTGGGATCGAACTCCTCCCCGTGGGGTGCGGAGCGCAGAGACCCAAACCGCCGCCTCCAACGGAGGGGCAGAGGGGCGACCACGGCGCTCACAACAACGAGCGGAGCGCCGGGAGGATAAAGTGCGGCAAGGTTGGCACAGCAGGAGGGGGGGGGGGGGCACGGCAAGTCGGCCGACCCTGTGGCACCTGCTGGGGGGTCTGGACTGCGTTGAACTTCTTTCGCGCCGTACGCAGCCAACCATGCGGGTGCCAAAGGCGCTGCGCCCCTTGTTACCAGCGAGACTTCGACACTCCACGTTGTCTCGGAGTGCACCTAGCCTGGCACCGGCACCGGCACCGTGGGGACGTCACCGCCACTTGTTGTGGTGCCAGTGGCACACGCACTTGGCTCTGAGCCAGGCCGGACTGAATGCCGCCACTCGCGGCTCACGTCAGTGGCGAGTGACGTCGACCCGGGCACGGGGCGCACGAAGCTGTCTCCACCTACTGAGCAGCGTAGAGAGACAAAGGTCCCCTGCATAGCCTGGACAGACTGTGGGGCAAGTGCTGTTTCTGAGCGTTCATCAGAGGGGGTTGTGGCCAGCACCACGCCCGACCGCCTTTGTATCCCCAGTGACGATGTTTACACACCGCACCAGGTACTCAATTGAGGCTGATTCCACCTCCGAGAAACCCACGACCGGTTCAGAGAATTGCCGCCTCCGCCGTTGTTGTTGTTTTGTTGTTGTTGTTGTTTTGTTGTTGTTGTTGGCCGGGAGCGGGAATCCAACTCGGCGACCTAGGTTCGTAGCGCAGCGGGTTCACCGCTCCACCACTGCGTCTTATAATCTGCAGAATACGATCATGTTGCATCTATATTTAAACAATGTTGCATCTATATTTAAACCATGTTGTTGCATCTATATGTAAACCATGTTGCGGCAATATTAGGAGCACAGAGGGCAAGTCCGTTCCTCAATTAAACTGCGGTCCACCCAGTGGCGGATGGAGCTCGTGCGGGGCCTGTGGCGTGATGTTGTAAAGGGGCCCGAAATAAATAAATAAACACAAATATTAAAACGCAAATGTTTAATTTGCATAGTAAAGTAACTCTTGTTTTTTCATTTGCTATACAGCCAGATAATACGACAAATCGCTAACCTTAAACACCCAGTCGTTCATAAAAGTTGAAGGCGGTATACTACTATAGTAATAGAGCAAGTGCAGAATCACTGAACCGGAGTTGATAGCTTGAAAGCGTTTAGCGCGGGGCCCTTGAAAGTGCGGGACCCGTAGCATCATATGTAGCTACTTTGCTTCGAGAATAATCCGGCACTGGGTGCGGGTCCACCCCACATTGCCACGAGCTGACAAGTCCACCTCGACGGGACCACGAGGGCGCGATCACCGCGAGCAGCTGCCAAAAGTTCATTGGCTGCCAACGCCAAATGAGGCGGCACTTTCTTTCGTGGCCGCGTGAGCAGCAGCAGCTGCTGCAGTGGTGGTGGGAGAGCGTTGTGCGCAATCGGTTAGTGCCGCTGGTGGTCAACTATGAGTTTTATTCCGGCCTCGGGCTGCCACCATCAGTGGCCAATGACGTCTGAATCCCCCCCCCCCCCCCATGCATAGGGAGAGAGGCCTTCAGCCAGCGGTGCATTTAACAAAGGAAGAGGGGAGTCGCTAATGATTAACGATCGTTCGCTTATTCGAGATAATGAAACACAACTGACCGCCTGTTTGTTTATTTTCTTCAAAGCGAGCCGCGTTCACCGTTGCGAAGTAAAAACATCGTCCGGCTCTCACGCCTGTCCGGCTCTTGTGCTGATTGGGCAGCTGCGCTCTTCAGAATGGTTGAAGGTGGAGCAATGCCTCTTCCCCACGATTGAGGAAATGGCTTCACATTGGGATCGCCACCTTCCCCCCCCCCACTTTGGACCAAGCCCGGACACGCGTCTCGGTCAGCACGAGCTCTGCTATCAGAGCTTGTGCAGTGTCCTGCAGTCAAGTGTCACTCAGCAATACCGGCACCAGATCTCGGTGAAAATCAACGCCTGCTGTCACCCGAGAGCACAGGTTTTACAGCGAGATTGATAACTCATTTTTTGCGAACCGCTTTCTGTGTCTTAAGTTTGTTGTCCTTCACGCGCACCTCCCGTACGGTGCGAAAGAAGTTGAAGACACGTCCAGGTTTCCTGTCCGGGTCAAACCCAGACAGGTGGCGATCCTCCGTGTCGGGCTGCTGACCGCAGCAGCCTGGGGGCTCGTGACGTTGCCTCCGTCTGCAGACGACTGGGATTGAAGATCGTGCTGCGCGCATCGAATGCCTCACGTTGGCTCGCTTCACTTCACATTCAGGAGCTAATTCGATCTCGTGACGCTTCAAGGCCTTTAAGATCTGCCAATGGTGCCCTTCTGCCTACAAACCTCTTGATCTCATAAAAAAGGTGTTTGGTTTAGAGCGCCTAAGAGTATAAATGTGTCGAAACCCTCCACCACCCGACACAGCCAATTAGTAAGGGATTTGTCACGTCAACAAAACGCCAACTCGTTACTACTTCATACTTACGCGATCCATTTATACTTACGTGATCCGTTTATACTTACGCGATCTAACCCAGAAACCTTTATTATGAATAATATTGGTCGTGCTCTTGATATACATCTCTCTCTCTCGCATCTGTGGGGTGATCGCACGGCACTCTGGTGCCCCCTCCGCTTGTGGAACTATTTTTACCTCTCAGTTCATGCTCCATTACCTTTGTCCCTTTCAAGCGTGGCGTCTTGAGACGTTGCGTATGGTGCGAAAGAAGTTCAACATACATCATAATCTACTACAGCATAATTATTACTACTACATGAACTGCACGTGTACATTGAGAGAAAAACAACAGCCTACGACGTCACCCTTACAGCACTTGCCTCTGTGCCTTGGCGTACATTGCTAATTTTGTCTGCACTGGGTGTTGCTCTGTGTTTTTTTTATGTCTTTGGCCCCAGGAACCAGTAAAGGACTCAATTAATCAGTCACCAAATAAGGCGGCTCTCACTCGGTGCCTAGGTGTTTATCTTCTGGTGGTGTGATTCAGAGTCTTGTGTGCTCTTTACTGCGGCACAATATGTTCTGAGCTGATAAAGCGATAAAGCCCTCTCTCGCCGCACCGCTGATCAGCACGGTTGGCTGCGTTCGATGCGATAGAAGTGCAACACACGTCGATGGGGTGGCCATAAAACGCACACGGGAGTGGAGCAATCGCCATTGTCTTCTTGCGTGAGTCAGCTGTGGGCAAACTGGCCACGTCAGGTTATTTTCTCTGTCGCGCATTCTAGGCGACTTGTGGAACTTCCACATTCCTATGGCAGAGACCCGGTCACGCACTTGCTTTGCATGCTACCACGTGGCGGGGCGCTTGCGCGCGCAAACACCTCGATAAATACTAATAATGCATTTTATTTATGAAGTGTCAAAAGTTGCTGAGGGTTCGGAGAGTGGGCGATATCACGAAAGAGGTGAAATACAGAGTTACTTTGTTAAGAAGAAGAAGAGGCCGTCGAGACCACGCGCCTCGTATTCACGAAGGGTTTGAGGCGACTCCGTGGTCAGAGCGCAGAGCCACTGAGGCCCCCACGGTTCAGGTCCAGGCGAGCTGCCTGCTGTGATGACGCCGGGTTCTCGAATGCAGCTTTTTGCTGGTTTTATAATTAATCATTATTATCTGTGATGGCTTTTTGTTTGCGGTGCAATCATTTGGTGACAAGGGCTGAGACCAGCAACGCGCTGCACTCAAGAACCCGGCTGCATCACGGGCAGCTTGTCTGGACTTGAACCGTGGGCCTCAGCCGTCTGTAATGGCTTTTTTTTATTATAATTCGTTCTTTCTCTCTCTCTAAATTCCAGCTCTGAGAATTTCAAATGTGGGTTCGGATGTGATGCAACCCATCGCACTGTCCCATTAAAAACGGGGGGGAGGGGGGGAATGCTGCCCTCTCTACTTTGTGAAGCAGAAGTCGCTGGAAGGATGGGCCTCAGACGCAGCTCTGTGACATCCGCTTCCTTGGGCCCTTCTCTCAAACCAAGGGTCGCCCGCTGCTGTGCGGGAGATCCGAAGGGGTCACTCCCCATGGTGATGGCGATAGTTCAGTTGGGATGCAAATGGGGGGTGGGGGGGCGGGGAGGATTACAAAGTAATGGGGGATACCTGGGTTTAAATAAACTTAGGTTTACATAAACACAGGGCTAACTGTCTGTCGTGCTAAATATGGAAACATCGTAGCGGCAAGCCAAATGCTGAAAATGAAGACTCGTGGTGAATTGTCGTAATCGGACAAAATCAGGGAGACTGACTCAGCTGCCTGTCTCATGCAAGCGATTGCATTGCGTCACGTGTCTGTAGCAGTGTGACACAGCGACACACACGTGGTGTGTGTGTGTGTGAAGCGGTGTGACACACACAAACATAGTAACAGGCACGCGCTTATTGCCCGCGCTCCATCCAGTTACTAAGGGGTTGCGCAATCAGAGGGGAGGCTGAGCGCGTCGCTGCCTCACCTCTCGTCTCTTCCTGTATCTGCAGCGGAGCTCCGCAAATTCGGCGATTTTGACTATAAAAAATATTGGAATCGTACAGAATGACATTTATAACACAGATCAGTGGAAAATGTTTAATATTTATTTTATTTGATTATTCTTTTTTCTACTTTAAGTAACAGCTATTTTCATTGGAGTATGGCAGGCGAGGCTCTGCCTCCCCTGCCCGCACGTCCCCGCTGTGTGATATGAACAATTGGTGACGCGTGGCGGGGTGTGACGTCAGTGATCAAAGGGGCGCTGTCTCAGTCGGGCAACGCAATTGGTGCACGCGGCGTCAACAACGGCAGCGATTCTCTTTGTGAGCAGCGTGAGAGCCCCTTGAGAGCACGAAGCTCGCGCGAGGGAGATGTGGGCCAAACCAGCACACGCGATTGTGTAACATTTGAACAGAATTTATTTAAACACAATATTTTTTTTAATAATAGGGTTTTTCCCCTTTTTCTTGGCATCCACATTGACATCCACATTGACATCCACATTGACATCCACATCGACATCCACATCGACATCCACATCGACATCCACATTGACATCCACATCGACATCCACATCGACATCCACATCGACATCCACATCGACATCCACATTGACATCCACATTGACATCCACATTGACATCCACATTGACCGGAGGCCCAGGCCCCACCGCTCGCCGATGGGTCGCGGGGTCCCGACCGAAATTGACTCGTTATGTTCCGAGTCGCGGAATTCCCCCTTTGTTGTTGCATCACTCTTCCCCGTGAAACAAGTTTTTTTAGGTGAGATTCGCGTAAATATAAATGTCTCGTTAAACCCGCCACCACCCGACACGGCCAATTAGTAAGGTTTGTCACGTAAACAGAACGTGCCAATACATTACTAGTACAGCACACCGTACTGTGTGCCTGTCTGCCTCCGTGAAAGGCACTCGTGATTTGGGTTTTGAGGTCATCACGATCATCATCATCAACATCAGCAATGTTCTGTCCACTGCTGGCTGAAGGCCTCGCCACGCTGCCGCCATGTCCGGGTCCTCCTGTTTTTTCCCCTCCACATTTACAAACATGCGTTTAGAGTGTTTAGATCATTTGGCTGCGATACATTTCCACGTGATGATAAGCCACTTCGTTGAGCTATCGTTTGTGGCCAGGTCGCTTCTGAAAAAGAGCTACGTAGCTCAGTGGGGCCTTACCTGGTCAAATAACAAAAAAACATTGTTCATAGTTTCAATTAATTATTATTCGAACAATTTGCAGATGTGAATAATGCGTCTTGTGCTCTTGACAGCCGCCCATACCGTCAGTTAAATCCTTCCGAAGACCGCCGCCGGCACGCTGCGTGCGCCTTATTTGTCTCGACTTTCATTCTCTCTCTCTCTCCTTCCGCCAGACACGGAGCGGTTGTACGCGGGCGTGTACGAGGATGTGTGCAGGCAGTACGGCAAGCACTACTCGTGGGACGTGAAGGCCCAGGTGATGGGCAAGAAGGCCCTGGACGTGGCGCGCATCATCCAGGACGCGCTGGAGCTGCCGCTCACGCCCGAGCAGCTGATCGCCGAGTGCCGCGAGCGCCAGGCAAAGATATTTCCCGCCGCGGAGCTCCTGCCGGGTACCGTGCCGAGAGTTCTCAGGCGCCGCTACGCCGCCGTCGATAAGTCGCTTCCCGATTGTCCGTGGGGGGGGGGGCGGCCCGTTTAGCGCGGTCGGCTATGTACGGTGCGGAAGAAGTTCGCCGTATGATGCGTTGTGCTGCGTAGTTGGTGTGATGTTCGCCGATTGTGCCACGCGTTCTCCTCGGCGTTGTTGCCCCACACGTTTGGTTGCCGCCTGCTTGGGGGCTTCTCAAGGGACTGAATTCGGCTCCAGAAGGGTAGCTCCCGTCACGTGGAGCGACGGGGGGGTCCAGAGAGCCATTCAAAGTCGTGACAACGTCGTTATTGTTTACCTCCGTAGAAGTGGGGACGAAGGTACAGAACCTGTTGACTGCTTCAAGCAATCGGTTTTCTTACCGACATGTGCGCAGTCGTATGGGTAATGAGTCGCTGACTATCGATCAGTGAAGGGCAGCTTAGAACAATAATGATAAATGGAAGCAGCGTGCTCTTGTTGATAAATATATCTCGTAAATAATGTGAGGTAGCAACAGTGAATCTGCAACACGGACAATCGGGAGTTGAACGTAACGGTGCAGCAGATAGATCAGCACGGGCGCATGCACATGGGCGCACACACACACAGACGCACACACACAGACGCACACACGCAGACGGACGCACACACACACAGACGCACACACACACGGGAGCACACACACACACAGATGCACACACACAGACGGACGCACACACGGACGCAGAGCACGCGTGAGATGCGGGCACGCGATGTCGCTGTTTGATCTAAGACGGAAGAACGAAGGGGATGTTCTGCTGCACATATTGTGATCGCACGGATCGAGCGTAATCGATGAAATTGTCGTTGTTCTCACGTCCTGCCTCGGTTCGATACCCGGCCACAGTGAAAATCTGTTGCAAGTGATTTCTTAAACTAAAACTAAACTACGTTATTTTACCAGGGAAGGCCCACTGAGCTATGTAGCTCTTGTTCTGTAGCGACCTGGCCGTCACAATGACAGCTCAACCAAGTGGTGCATCATCATCACGTGGACATTTCTAGCAGCCACATACTCTAAACGCATGTTTCCAAATCTGGAGGGAATAACCGAAGGACCCGGAGAAAAGTCCACGTGGCCACGTTACGGGCGTCAGGGTCGGGATCAAACCCACGACCTCCTGTATACCAGGCGAGGTAGTTAACATTTATCACGACCTCCTGTATACCGGGCGAGGTAGTTAACATCTATCACGACCTCCTGTATACAGGGCGAGGTAGTTAACATCTCCTAGCCACCGCCGTGCCCCTGGGCTTGGCTCTGCACCCCTCCCACCCCCCGACCATTCACTCGACCCCTTGACCAGCCCGCACCATCCAGCATGTGAGCTATGGCATAAGACGGACCGTGCACGACGTCCAACTAACGACGGCGTGCCGCCCCGTGACGAGCGCAGGCGTGGAGCGGCTGATCGGGCACCTGCACGGGCACGGCGTGCCCATGGCCGTGGCCACCAGCTCGGCGCGGGCCACCTTCCAGATGAAGACCACCAACCACGGCGGCCTCTTCTCGCTCTTCCGCCACACGGTGCTGGGCGACGACCCCGAGGTGCGCAGCGGCAAGCCGGCGCCGGACGCCTTCCTGGTGGCCGCTCGCCGCTTCCAGCCGCCCGCCCGGCCCTCGCAGGTGAGCGCCCAGGATGTGACCCCCGCCGGTGCGCCCCCCTCTCCTGTGCTGACCCCATGGTCTAGAGCTCCCAGGGATGTGACCCCCGCCAGCACGCCCCCCTCTCCTGTGCTGACCCCATGGTCTAGAGCTCCCAGGGATGTGACCCCCGCCAGCACGCCCCCCTCTCCGCCTCGGGGGATGGACAGGAGTTGGGCGCCATGGTGGCGAGATGTTAACTAACCCCGCCTCGTGTGCAGGAGGTCGTGGGTTCAATGCCTGACTTCTCTATATTTGGAGGTTGTGTGTCTCTCTCTCTATCTCCCCGTGGTCGCGTGGACTCTTCTCCGGATCCTACGGTTTTTCCCTCCACATTTTGAATCAACGTCACACGTTTCGAGTATTTGGCTGCTAGAAATGTCCACGTGATTAGCCACTTATTTGGGCGGTACTTGAGCTGACGGTAAAGTTCACTGGGCAGCTCGTAGACTCCCCCTGCCTGTGACCCTCTCCCGTTCCCTTCCCCCCCCTCCCTGGGTGAGGCAGGGAGCACATTCTTCGTCCCCCTTCACACGGGGTCACGGGGTCACAGGGTCACAGGGTCCTGTCGCACCGACATGGCATCGTTGTTCACGGAGTTTCTGTTCCCCCACCCCCACCACATTCGGTGATTGGCGTTTTATATCGCATTGTACCGTACCGTATGGCACTGTGCCGTACTGTACCATATTGTACCGCGTTGTAAAGTATTGTAGAGTGTTGTACCGTATTGTACCGGACTCGCGTAGATTTGCAATGAGAACATTAGCGACAAAAAAAAAGCGGTTGCATTCATTGAGAAAAACCAAGTAAACTAGGCCACGGATGCCAGCATCACGCTCCCAATTAGCCACAGAGCGACGCCGTGGCCGGCGCTTGCCCGCCCCCTTGACACCCCCTTCTTCTGCCGTTGTCTGCGCCAGTGCCTGGTGTTCGAGGACGCGCCCAATGGCATGCGGGCGGCGCTGGCGGCCGGAATGCAGGTGGTCATCATCCCCGACGAGAACTTCGGCCCCGAGGACACGCGCGGCGCGTCGCTCGTGCTGCGCTCGCTCGAGGAGTTTGTGCCCGAGGCGTTCGGCCTCCCCGCGTACGCTGACCGGCGACCCTGACTACGCGCGGGAGGGCTCGACGCTTCCCCCCACCTCCCCTCCCACCTCCGATCGGCGCAAGCGCGACAGACGCGTGGCGCCGATTGTGCATGCGGCAGCTGTCCCACGGAACGATCGCCACGGCGGCGGAGTTTACGCGACTCCTCGTATTGCCGGTCGGGTCCTCCTCTCTCAGTCGGCAGGAACCCTGTGGCTTTTTCTTCTTCTTCCATCTCTCACGGCAGTGTTATTATTACGATCTTGGTTCTCATCCGAAGAGGTATTGGCCGTATGTTGGCAGGGGAAGCGGGGGGGCTCTTAGCGTCTCCGTTGAGTTTGACTGCTGCTTTAGGGCTGCGTGTGGTGGTGTCACGTTCATGTAGATTTCTGTGTGTGTGGCGAACTCACTTGGTTTGTGAAACCTTCCCTTGTACGTTTGAGACCTATCCTCTGTTTTTCTGAGCCAAAGTTTTTTAGAACTATTTTGTGCGTGCGCTCGTATGGGGAGCGGTTAGCATGCTGCATAACGAACCCAGTGACGGTAATTATCTGAACCGGTTCTGGGTCTCCCGTAGGTCAACTCAGCCTCAAATGAGTACCTGGTACAGTGTGAAAATATCGCCATCAGAGACAAAGGCGGCCGGGCGTGGTGCTGGCCACCCACCCTGTCGTGTGCCGTGCCGGCCTTCATTAGGTGCTCGCTAACAGCACTTTCCCCAACAGCCTGTTAAGGCTACATGGAGGATCTTTGTCTTTGTACAAACACGTGCGTCTCGGTATGTGTGTCAAAAACCTGTTGGTACATAAATAGTGTGGCTGTGCGCCTTGCTCTGTGGACACTCAGGAACTGGAGCGCACACATTCCTCAACAACACAGGAATGTGAATAAGGCTTCAAAGACTACAGCGGGACTTGGCCAATCCACACAATCCACCTTTTGCATCTCAAGTTGTGGGTTGGCTCCACGCTTAGTGTGTGTGCACTGCCTTTTGTTGCTGCCATGTGAGTACAATATGCAATTTCTAAACTGTTGTTCAGACTTCACGATGCATTCGAGTGAAGTCAACAGTTTGACTTCTCTATCTGCCATTGTTATTCGGCTCTCGGCCTCACTTATTGTTGTGTGCTGACAGGACACCGTTATTTCGAGGGAGTGCTTTTACCAATATCCTCTCTTCTGCCGGCGGTATTTAATTTTGCCAGGCTGCTGATGAGACCTAAAAGGTCGAAACCAGGCCAGAGAAATTAATGCTGCTGACATAAAAAAAAAGTTTTATTCAATTAATGTGTGTTTGAGATCACGGTTGATTATGTTAATATAACACGGACGTGTGCACTGAATTCAAACTTTTTTTTATAAAATGAGAATCGGAAAGTCGATTTGTTGTGAATGTTGCTTGCCTTCTTGTGGTAAGAAATATATTATTTGCATAAATGATTGTTTGTATTGCTCATGATTTTAAGATGACCGATGTTCTGTCAAACAATCGCCGTGATGAAGCACAGTCCAGCTATGAAATGACGACAGATTCACAATTTGCAACACTGATCACGTCCTGATGTCTTGCAAAACGGTTATTATCCTCAATGTTGTGAAACTAAAACAGGATTTTTATAACCTGTGCTATATATAAGCGGAGGATACTACCGTGCTGTAATGGTGAGCGCACTGCACTTGTAAATCCCGAAGTTGCTGGCTCGTTGCAATCTCCCGGTGCGGCAGTTTAAACAATGGGAGAGTGTTTTCAATCCCCAGCACCCCCATCTGCCCGTGTCCAACCGGCAGTAATTGGTTCCACGGAAGTGCATCGATTGGCAGGTGGCGTCTGGTGGGGTAAAGCGTGGGTACCCCCCCCCCCCCCGCCTCTGCTCAGGCAACCCGTCGGCATGGAAGAGTCGGCCAAGTACACCCGACTGGAGGGGGGCTCTCGAAACTTCCCTCCAGTGGGGGGGGGGGCCCCTTCCGCCAGCAGGGGCGTGAGAGAGCGATTGCAGGGGCTGCGTCTTTGCCGCGTGCATTGCCACTTCGCAGTTACGACAACTTTGATGGGCTCGTTTCTTGGGTGGACAAAGTGTTTCCTCTTCGTCCGATTCACAGTGAACACGTGACCTTGTGTGACGTTGTGTGACCTTGTGTGCCTCCTTCGCCGACACTGGCGGCAAGTCGGCCCCGAGGTCACGAGCCTGGCCCCGAGGTCACGAGCCTGGGCCCTCGCTGTCAAGACGCCGATGTGGCTGCCCCGTTTGCTGCTGGAGTTTGCACGACCAGTATTTGCCGTTAAATGGTAGTTGTTCATCGGCTGGAAGATTTACAGTGATGATTGATGTCGTGATTGTGTGGGGAATGAATCTCCAGGTCTCCCTTTGCAAAAGGGACATTTTGTCTCGGCGGGGTCGTGCCTGGTTTAAATAATGTCATTTTTATCGATACCAGTTGTATTTTTAAAGGATGCTGGACCACTTGAAATGTGTTTGTTTAAATCTAACCCGACAACACATTGAGGCCGTGCAAATGCTGAGTATTTTTTTTTTTATCTCAGAACAACTTATGGGTTTTTTTGTTACTTATATTTGTCTTGCTGGGCAAAAAGTAAAAAAAAATGTGTGCTATTGTTAATTCAATTCCACTACTGTACTCTCCTCTTGAGTACCATACCAATGCTGATTAATACTTGTGGTTAATACTTGTGGCTAATTCCCAATATGGGCTGTTGCTACGACGATTAAATAGCCGCTTGTATACGTGTTTTTAAAACTTTTAGTGTAAATCATTATTATAATTTGTAGTTTTTTCTATGCAAGATGACTTTTGAATGTAACGGCCGGTGGGGCCGGTCGTTGTTGATTTGATGGAACGTCGGTGGTGCAAAATGTTAGCAATGCGGATTCATTAAAATAAAAAAAAGCATAAACAGGCGTATGCCTCTGTCTTCCTTGGTCCACACAAAGATGACGACGATGATGGGGGTGGTGGTGGTGAGCAAAGTTCATTGCTGTCCGGAAGAACACATTTGCCCATTGTCACGGGTCACATGGTATTACATATATTTTCTACAGATTTAATGAAAAACATTCCATACACTTAATGTGGTTTCACGTTACGTGGGGGGTGGGGGGATGTGTTTACATTTTCTACGTGCGGTACTGGAATCTCACAACGTGATGCCATCTTCACGGTCCCAGCTTGAAATTGTAGAAAACTTCTCAACCCACGAGTGCCCTCTTTTGACATTTATGTTAATATCATCTTAGTGTCAATATATTATTGTGAATATCATCTTATAGTGAATATCATCTTATTGTGAATATCATCTTATTGTAAATATCATCTTAATGTCAATATATTATTGTGAATATCATCTTATAGTGAATATCATCTTATTGTGAATATCATCTTATTGTAAATATCATCTTAGTGTCAATATATTATTGTGAATATCATCTTATAGTGAATATCATCTTATAGTGAATATCATCTTATTGTGAATATCATCTTAGTGTCAATATATTATTGTGAATATCATCTTATAGTGAATATCATCATATTGTGAATATCATCTTATTGTGAATATCATCTTCGTGTGACTATCATCTTCGTGTAAATATCCGCGGTGCGTGAGCAGGACAGCAATACAAGAGAAACGTCAACATGGCAGAGAAGGGGTGCTCGGTCTCTGCGGTATGTTGCGTAGATCGCAAACGAGGTTGTACTGTGTTTGATGGGCGTAAAGGAAACATGCAAGTTTTTTTTTAATCAGTGCAAATATAATGCACACTACAGGTGCACAACTTGCCAACATCTTCCGGAAGAATTCTACCAACTTGCCAACATCTTCCGGAAGACCTCTACCAACTTGTCAACATCTTCCGGAAGATTTCTACCAACTTGCCAACATCTTCCGGAAGATCTCTACCAACTTGGCAACAATCTTCCGGAAGAATTCTACCAACTTAGCAACAATCTTCCGGAAGATCTCTACCAACTTGTCAACATCTTCCGGAAGATCTCTACCAACTTGACAACAATCTTCCGGAAGATCTCTACCAACTTGACAACAATCTTCCGGAAGACCTCCGCCTCGACGGACCTGGTTTTCACCTGAGGACGGCTGCTTGCGTTGTGGCCGAAACGTCGTGAGAATTGTTTTATTATGTTTTATTTTTATTATTTTATTACTTCCCTTCTACGTGACTTTACCGAAAGAACCAAGAAGATGACTCTACCAACTTGTCAACATCTTCCGGAAGATCTCTACCAACTTGCCAACATCTTCCGGAAGATCTCTACCAACTTGGCAACATCTTCCGGAAGAAGTCTACCAACTTAGCAACAATCTTCCGGAAGATCTCTACCAACTTGTCAACATCTTCCGGAAGATCTCTACCAACTTGGCAACAATCTTCCGGAAGAATTCTACCAACTTAGCAACAATCTTCCGGAAGATCTCTACCAACTTGACAACAATCTTCCGGAAGATCTCTACCAACTTGGCAACAATCTTCCGGAAGAATTCTACCAACTTGTCAACATCTTCCGGAAGATCTCTACCAACTTGACAACAATCTTCCGGAAGATCTCTACCAACTTGACAACAATCTTCCGGAAGACGTCTACCAACTTGCCAACATCTTCCGGAAGACTTCTACCAACTTGGCAACAATCTTCCCTCTGCCGGCAGGGTCTGGGACATGTCTTCCGTGAGCCATGTCATCTTTGACATGGATGGACTCCTCCTGGGTCAGTTCGTTTCTTCCTGCGCCGCAGGGCGCTGCAGCTTGCACGCTCCGGCAGCGCTGGCCGCTCGCAGGCGCCGTGCCGCTTTGCGTCTCTGTGCCGCTTCGTGATCTATCACTCGGGCGGACGCAGCCCGCGACGTAGGCCGCTGGTCGGTCTCCTTGTGTGTGCTGAGTCTTCTCTGGCAGGCGGAGGCGTTGATTGATGTGTGTACAAGGATAGTAACGGCCTCCTATGGTCAACTCCACTGCTGGATGAGGGCCCTTCACACACGCCGCCCGAGTAAGTGTTGGCTGGTTTGACCAACTCCACCACTGCCGGTAAGGGGCCGTCCATAAATGACGTCACGCGATTTTGGACGATTTGGACCCCCCCCCCCTCGTCACACGGCGTCACAAAAAGTCAGACCCCCCCCCCCTCAAATATGACGTCACAAAGCTCTGTCCCCCAAAAATATGAAACATGCTTCAAATCGCTTTAAACTATTGTTATTGTAGTGCGTATTTAATGTGGCGCCGTACTCTGATGTTGTAGGAGAAAACATTAAAAAGTCTATTTAATTAAGTAGAACGTGTTGTCTATATTTATTTAAAGTTGCGCATTTTGATGTGACGTCACATTTCTCACCTCCCCCCTCGTCACACATCGTCACAAATGTCTGACCCCCCCCCCCCCCCCAGGTGCGTGACGTCATTTATGGACGGCCCCTAAATGTAGATTGGTAAAGGCGGGCTGCAGATATAGATTGTGGGAGCGTAGAAGTACCGTACAATAATGGATTGTTCCGCATTGCCCGATGGAGACCTGCCCGTGCAAGATGCTTCGCTACCCCGGCCGCTGTCCAGGCTGAAACGCTTCAGAGATCTCCTGAGTGATTTGGCCACAGACACTTAAAGATTTAGCAGCAACTAAAAGCTTTGCTTAAGCTTAAGATAAACGTTGTACAATCACACTTAATAAAGCCGCGTGGACAATTGTGCTCATTTGTCACGTACACAAAACGTCAAATAGTTACTACTTCAGCCCACTCCATACTCTTACGCTTTTTCGGTAAAGTCACGTAGGTAAACATAAAATAAAATTAATAGAAATAAAATAGTAAATCACGACGTTTCGGAGGCAACACAAGTCTCTGTCATCAGGTGGGACCGTCACAGCTAAAATTACTGCATCAAGTGAGGCAAAATTCCAAGAGACCAGCCCTTAAATACAAGTTAAGGGGGGGAGGGGCTTATCTGAATGTGGTAGCCAATGAATGGGACGTGGGGGTGGTGGGCGGGGCTACAAGAGAAATTGGTCCAACAGTCGTCAATGTGTGCAAGAGAACAATCGGTGTACCTCGACCTAAGCCGGTGTTGGTTGAGAATCGAAATACAAAAAAGCAGTACTGTTGAACGCTGGGGATGTCAACACTCGGTAAAGTAGAACAGTACCTGTCAAATAAGATGGTACAACTCAAGCCCACTCCATCTCCACGGGAGTATTTTATTTTGCTGCCACTGTCGTTAGTCTCAACCACCGACGTATCTTTTCATTGTTACATCAGCCGTTGTGTCCACCACGACACGAACCATCGACTGCTCTGAACTGACACGTTATCCGTTATACTCTAAGCAGCGATTTTACTTACCTCTCCGAATCGCCCTCAATGTATCTCGTCGCGAAGCCGAGTTGAGCTTGGTTAGTATTTAAATGGGAAACACCCTTGGAAGACCAGGTAGGTAGGCTTGGGAGGCCAGGTAGGCTTGGGGGGCCAGGTAGGCTTGGAAGACCAGGTAGGCTTGGGGGGCCAGGTAGACTTGGGGGGCCAGGTAGGCTTGGAAGACCAGGTAGGCTTGGGGGGCCAGGTAGGCTTGGGGGGCCAGGTAGGCTTGGAAGACCAGGTAGGCTTGGAAGACCAGGTAGGCTTGGGGGGCCAGGTAGGCTTGGGGGGCCAGGTAGGCTTGGAAGACCAGGTAGGCTTGGAAGACCAGGTAGGCTTGGGGGGCCAGGTAGGCTTGGGGGGCCAGGTAGGCTTGGAAGACCAGGTAGGCTTGGGGGGCCAGGTAGGCTTGGGAGGCCAGGTAGGCTTGGAAGACCAGGTAGGCTTGGAAGACCAGGTAGGCTTGGAAGACCAGGTAGGCTTGGGGGGCCAGGTAGGTTTGGGGGGCCAGGTAGGCTTGGGAGGAGACGTTGTACTCTTGAAACTTCAGAGCTTTGACTGTCAACCCCGCCGATGCATGGGTTGGTTTTCTCTGGATACTCCAGTGTTCACCAAACAATATTGCACGGAATTGGCCAAAGTTCACAGAAAGGAGTGCTGAGACTCGGGCCTTCCCTTGTAAGTAACGCAGCAGCTACTGCTGCTGCTGTGCGTGCGTGTGGCGACTTTGCTCGTGTGCGACGACGGGGCTGATCTCCCATTGTACTCGTTGACATGAACATGCCAATCTCTCCCTTTAACGCAGCTGCTGTGCGTGCGTGCGTACCCTTGGGTGACACACACCTCAAACCTAAAGATAACCTCTTGTTGCAGCAGCCCCTTCTTGTTCAGCAGTTCTACTGCTGTGTCTTTCTACCTGATGACGATTGCTTGTGTTGCGGTCGAAACGCCGTGATTTATTATTTATTTTTATACCTACGTGGCTTTACCGAAAGAACCAAAGAGTATGCACGGCATTGTTACGATGATGACGATTATTGTTATTGCAGACACGGAGCGCCTGTACACGGAGGTGTTCGAGGACATCTGCAGGCCTCACGGCAAGCGGTACACCTGGGAGCTCAAGTCGCAGGTGATGGGCAAGAAGTCGCTTGACGCGGCGCGCGTCATCCGCGATGCGCTAGAGCTGCCGATGACGCCCGAGGAGCTGCTGGCAGAAAGCATCGCTCGCCAGGAGAAGGTCTTTCCCAGCGCACGGCTCCTACCGGGTACCTGCTTGCGTGATGTCGGCCCAGTTTGAGCTGGCTTTGTTGCATCTTGCGCGTTCAGACGCGCTTCGGCGGCCGTCTGGAATGCTGTTCCAATTTGAGGAATCCGCTGGAGCGGTCCACTTTTAAATCTCGATTCAAAACTAATTTCTTTAGAACTTATTTTTGTGTCGGCTACGTAGGCTGCGAAAGAAGTCCAACATACGTATGTGTGCACTTCGCCATTCGGTTATGCGCAGCGTTTGGTTAGCGTGTGTGGAGGAGCGTCCGTCTCGTGTGCTTTGAAGTGCTTTGAGTGATTGTTTTAATGACGTGCATTCTCTTGCTCGGGTCATGTTTACTTTTTACCCGAGTAGAATTTCAAGTTTACCTTTTTGTAAATGCAGCAAGTGTAGTTTTTGCAAACTTAGAGTGTTGCTATATACTATTTTTTTCCAATATTAAATTACTTTTCCTGCAGCACACACTGTGTTCATAAAATCGACTCATGTTAACATCACACGATTACAAAAACACATGTCAAAAAAAATGGGCTTGCTGACAAATACAAGAAAGCTATACACAAATGCAAACATCTTGGTATTGCTTCCAAAGCTTCTGGAATAGAATTTCTCGCAGAAAAGTATGAAAAGCATCAAAATTTTCTGATCAAATTTGGGGTGGATCCATCGACTCTCTTGAGTTGGTGAAAAATCACGAGAGGTCACCATCCCTGCCACCTTGCACAGCTGCAGGTTTGGGGCAAGCGCCAAGCGTTTCCGCGCAGGACACTACGAAGAGGCAGAGAAGATGCTGCCGAACCGGTGTCCGTCTGTACGCTCAAAGAACTTGCCTGTGTGCGGCGCACTGCTTTTCGACACGCCAGACAGATCGCCAAAGAGCCTGGGGGCCTCAACGAATTCATGGCTTCCTGGAGCGATTAATAAATAAATATATACAACGACACGGGCAATGATGGGGATGATTATTCTGGTTATGTGATGGATTGTCGAATGAGTAGCAGTGGAACGATTCACCTTCCATGGCGGCTCTGTGATTTGTAAGGATTCAGGGTCCTTATATGCTTCAATATGAATTTATTTTTCAATACTATATAACTCAGGTTGAAAGCATTAATGCATTAGCTCTGTCCGTCCATCGGTAACAGGGGTTCATGGTAACTCGTGCAAAGATGATCTAATATGAACAAAATTGTAGGATAAAGTTAAGTTGCCATTGGGGACCTACCCCAGAGAAAAGGGTTGCGACAAACGCGGACACGAAATCCAGCGCAACAAAACATTCGCCTTGATGCTGACACCGTAACAGCCCTTACTAATGAGATAATTGAGTGTGACATCATCTTGTGACATCCCATGTGATGCGTCGTACGATATCCCATTGTGCGACTGAGAACGTGATATTGTCAACGGTAATTAAACACGTTCGAGGACAAACACGTTTCACAAAACCCGACAGAATGCAAGATTTTTTTGTTCTTTCAACATTGCTGTTAGTGGTAGCATCTCTAGAAGCTGCAGGGGTGATATCAACCCATTCCATACAAAATTGAAAACTAATTTCTGTAGAACTGCTTTTTGTGTCTGATTAGCACGGTTGGCTACGTATGGCGCGAAAGAAGTTCAACGTACATACATACAATAGACAATCAAGACTGCAGTAATCCGTGGTGATACGGTGGTGGGAGCGGTGGCGTGTCGCGGATCCCGTTAATTCGAGGCACACCGTGGAGGCTTTTCTCGTCATTTGCGAGACAGATTTTGCGGCGACGCTGTGTGCCGCGTGTTACAGGAAGGGAAGTAGCCGTGCCACTCCGTTCATCCCCAAAAACTCCACGGATTACAGGGGAGGTGCAGGGAACAATTGAAAAAACGTCAAATCTTACACCCCGCAATTTGATGCAAGTATTGTTTTTTATAAACGATAATTAATCGGTGCATCGTTCCACTCCTAATGAGCCACTGTATTTTACGCAGTTTGCAAGTAAATATCAGGTGATAGGTCAGGAACGATTCACTTCCCGCATCACCACGCAATTTTATGAACTTTCATCATTGGAGGTCATCATTATATGAACAAATATATGCTTTTTTCTCGTGTATTTTGTCCAAATAATTTGCAAACATTTTTTACAAAGTGTAAATAATCCTTTCTTAAATGTACTCCATTTAACGCGCATATCTTAAGCATAAGCGTCTATTTTGAGTGGACGAGTTGATTATTCTCTATACTCGTGTAAAATCACGTTTTTTTTTCACAGCAGAGGACAGGAATGGGATGTTTTCTGCGACGAGTTTGCCTGAGGGTAATGTGAATAAAGAAGCTGTCTTCTCACAAGGAGACACAAGGAGACACAAGGAGAAATAATGAACACTGCTACCCTGCATTACCCACACTCTGATTCACCGCATCTTAAGAGCCATTTTTTGCATTGCCCTCCACGCCGCATTCCAGGAAACCAATAATCTGCGGCCCGATGCTCCACCGCGTGATGTTACGTCTGTGCTGAGTGCAGGGGCATCTGAGACAACCGCTATCAACGCAGGTCTAACTCGAGCATAGAGAGCCACTTAACTCTGTGGAGACTGTGACTCAAAGCAACCATTGTTTTGTTGCTGCTGCTGCTCCTTCATACTGTAAATGTGAAAATGATGCACTGGTAATTTTAGCTATGGATGTTGTGGTCCTTTAAGTCGTACGCGTGTTTGTGTGTTAAAATGCTTAGCCCGAATGAGAATAGATAAGGATTTTGTTCATTTATTTCCCTCCAAAATTGTGCTTGTCGGCATTATGTTTAGTTTTATGCAGCGTAGGTCGTGCAACCTGCATCTCACAATCGCTGAGGAACCACAGACGAGCTGGAAGGCAGCCAGGCTGAGAGCTGGAGACAATGATTGCCCAGTGTTCTGCAGTCCTCTCTATATCAAGACGTTTTTATCCAATAAATGAGTGTGTATCACGTCATGAGATGAAACACATTCAATTATTTTAGAGAGTAGTGCAACCGTGCATGTTGGAGAATGGCCCATAAAAGTGGATATCACAGGGCTACTGCTGAGTTCTCTTCAGGTGACCTCTGGCTCACACAGTGTAAGGGCAGCACCTTACCACCTGCCTCTGACAGTGAGAGTAAGACTTTTTGCATGATGGTCAAACTGACATACGTGATTCTCAGAGCTCGAATTCGGGATAATTAAATGCAGAACCGAATTGAGTGATGGGGTTTTTGTTGTTGTTGTGCAGTCATTGGTGACCACCCTAAAACCACCAACGCTCTCTACACCTGAGAACCCGGTTAACCACAGGCGTCCGCCTGGATTCCAGCCCAGGATCTCAGCTCTGCCAGCTCACAGATCTGACCTCTGAGCGACCTGGCCACCTCAAGGATAGCTTCATCTCATACAGCCACTCTTTCCAGTCACAAACTCAAGCATTTCTTAATTTCAAACAGTGTTGTGTGTTCCCTCCCCACTGAGAACAGTAGCACATCCTAAACAAAACAATAAATTGCGCACAAATGGTCTCGCAGAAACGAACATAACGTGGCAATCGTGCGGGACAATTGGGTTCTCCGTGATGTGAAAGCCATGTGACATGTGATGGCGTTTAAATGGGCTTCCTTTTACTGCCCGGATGCAGTGAAGAAGGGCGCACACTTCCCTTGCAAGAAATGTAATATCGGCCATTAAAATACTGCTGATAAACACATTAGGTGTTTCTGTGGGCTGCAACTGCCCCTTGTTATTATTATCACTTACAAGCCGTAGCTGGCTCTGCGTTCCCTCACCGTGTAGAGTTAGATGAATGCGCTTTAAAGTGCAGTCTGTTGCCGAGTTAATATTGCGCTCGTCTTATATCAGCACTGTTGTAAGAACAGCCCTGATCGCACCGAGGAAAACAAGCCGCCAGCTTAGCGCAACGGAAGTGTAACGATGCATCGGTTCACTTTGATTCTTAAGCTCACAACGTACATGCCCTTTGTTAATCTGCTGCTGGACGTAGGCCTACCCCACACTGTTGGTCACAGGGGTTGATTGACCGTAATTGACCACTCTGCTCGGTGCGGGTTGTTGGAGGGGCACCCCCAGGACCAGTTCAGATATGACACGCCACTCGTCGTTGTCTGTGGTCAGGAATCGAACTCGGGTCACCAGGGTTCATGGTGCAGCTTTGCTGGCCACCACTTGGCCCACGATGTATCGTAACTCGTGATGGGGAACGGCTTAAACCGCAGTGGAAATCCGGGCTGTAGCGCATTCTTTGTTAATGCCCGAAACACCTGGAATTCCTTTGCCTCAAAAATGTCCCTAGCTACCCTCCCTTCTAAATCACAATGTGATGCTTAGCTGTCGACTCTGTGATAACGTCACTTACAATTTATAATTGACACATATGGCTGTCTGTTTATGATACTCGTGCAACATACACCCTAATTATAATTTAATATTTTCTGTAACTTAATTTTATGATCAATGATTTCTAATAGTAATTTGTCCGAGCCAAATTTGTGACAGGAAATATATTTTATTTAATATCATTTATGCTTGTGCACTGTTTCCATCTTTTACACGATTGTTGTCTTGTTGTTGTGTTGGCTATCATTGTATCTATTACACGGTTGTGTTGGCTATAATTTCAATTAGTTTTTTTTGCGCTCTGATTTATAGTCGCTTCGTTGTTGTACCCTTTTTTACGTAAATATACAACTGAGAATATCCTCATCATTTCGACCTTCTTCCCTTGGTTCAACAAAATAAAAACTTGGGAATGCAGCGTGCGACCGATTGCCGTGTGACCTCGGTTGCTCCCATGGATGTCGGCGACTGGAGCTGCAAGTGCGCCAGGAGAGACGCGTGCCGGGGTGAAGCTGGGAGTGCTTTCCTCCTCCCGCCCTCCTTTCCCGCCCCGAGCAAAAACCCAGATTTTAGTTGAATTACGTCAAAAGGGATTTATCACTTCCACGTCGTGCATTAGTAATATAATGCTGGGTAATGCGCAGTACCCAGGGATGATGCCACTGCTTGTGAGATCGGGTCACCGATATTTGACCGTGTAGCGTACGCGTGCAGCCCTCTCGGGAGAAAGTGCCGCCACATTGCCACTTTGGATGTGGGGGGTTATTGAGCGTAATTCACCACTCCAGTCGGCGCGGGGTCGGTGAAGGCAGGGAGCATGGTATGGTACAATGGGAGATATTGCTGCACTGCTATTTAACACGTAGCTCCCTATGACACCTATTTTACGTGTGGTCGCTGGCCATCCAAATGCTATGTAGGCTCATTCATGCACAGCTCCTGAGGTCTGATTAAAAAGCAAAATATTCTGAGTGATTTAAGTCATAGCATTACCGTGTGTGTGGGTAAATGTGTAAGAATGTGAATGGCACTGTAGTTGGTGTATTTTGTACTGAAAATTCCAGGCGATAAGACTTGCCCTTTGAACGGACTGTACTATTTATTGACCTATGCGGTCATGAAATGTGTTGTTATGAAATATGTTGTTGATAGTTTAGTGCACGCGTAATTTGATTGTATCTGATTACTCTTGACACGGTAACTATGTACATATGCAATTTAATTCAGGCAGTGTTTTGGACAATGCATACAAAAAACATTGCGAGTAAAGGATCCAAAGATGAGCCCCAAAACACATATCTCTTGTTTTAGATGCTTCATTAAAGATTGCTGGAGCAGTGAATCTTTGGTAAGCAACTTTACTCTGAAGCCTAACTGCCTGGGTTTGATCCCCGGCCACAAACCAAGTCGGTAGCAAGTGATATCTGAACCAGTTCTGCACTGCGCCCATCCACGACCTCCGGTCATCCTCACAGCAGTGGATTTTGGCTAGCCATCGAACAAAGATGGTCACCGTACCGCGCTTTCAGATGCGCTTCTGCGGCCATCTGGAACACTCTTCCTTCTGGTATTAGGAGGCCACTAGAGCTATGCACTTTTAAATCATTTAGATTGAAAATGGATTTTTTTTGGAACTCCTTTTGTGTTAAGTTTGTTGTCCCTCTCCCAGCATCTCCCAATCAGCACGGTTGGCTACGTACAGTGCGATAGAAGTTCAACATACATACACTCGACCCCTTGACCAGCCCGCACCGTCCAGCATGTGAGCTATGGTATAAGACGGACCGTGCACGACGTCCAACTAACGACGGCGTGCCGCCCCGTGACGAGCGCAGGCGTGGAGCGGCTGATCGGGCACCTGCACGGGCACGGCGTGCCCATGGCCGTGGCCACCAGCTCGGCGCGGGCCACCTTCCAGATGAAGACCACCAACCACGGCGGCCTCTTCTCGCTCTTCCGCCACACGGTGCTGGGCGACGACCCCGAGGTGCGCAGCGGCAAGCCGGCGCCGGACGCCTTCCTGGTGGCCGCCCGCCGCTTCCAGCCGCCCGCCCGGCCCTCGCAGGTGAGCGCCCAGGATGTGACCCCCGCCGGCGCGCCCCCCTCTCCTGTGCTGACCCCATAGTCTAGAGCTTCCTCCTTCCTGCTGGCCGTCTGCTCTGCAGGCTCCCAGCCCTTGCACGGTGTCCGGCCGTGTGCTCAGCAGGCTCCAAGCTCCCAGCCCTTGCACGGTTGCATGGCAAAGAGACAGGCCTCTGAATGTCGGAGGTGGAGAGAGAACGGCGACAAAGACTAATTTGCGCTCTGCGATGTGTCTTCGGCTTGTACCGCGTGTTCTTAGCGAAGGGAGTGAACAATGCATGCTACACGGCCTGACTGCAACTAGCAGATAAGATGTTTACTCCATAATATTGATGCTTTGTGAGTAAATTGTATTTTAGAGAGGGTAAAATACATCAACTTGAATACTCTACAATATTTAATGCTAACATACATGGAGTATGAATTAACTTGGAGCCTTACATTGTTACCGCAATGTTACTATTGTATAAAAACGAATGGAAGAAAAAATATTTCTCAATGAGATCTTTCACATTTTTTTAAATTCCAAAATAATTTAAATCCACGAACACAATATATATTAGCGGGGTGTATATATGTGTATGTATGGTGAACTTCTTTCGCATTGTACATAGCCAACCGTGCTAATCAAAGGTGTGGGGCACGTGACCAAACGCCCCCTCAAGGGCCCCGAAGATAAAATGACCACTCCTTCGCGTGGGCCGCGTCAGCTGCCATACACACTCAGGCTGCGCAGCAGAGTCGCTACTCGCATCATTTCACGTTAAATTAATCCATTCCGATGACGTCTGCAAGTTGCAGGGTGGGTCCTGTTCACCGCTGAATCTCGGAAGACGCAAGCGGTTCGCGTTGATTTTATTTAGAGAGACGTTGCGACGTTGTTTTTAAATACATTGCATTCACCGCAGAGAACTGTAGTGACACGGCCGCACTCTATGATAGCAGACGTCAAAATATGCCTTGGTACGTCTTCCGATAAAGTTATTTTATTTAAGTTTTCTTCCAATTCCATTCCACGTATGATCGTTGACACCGCGTATGATCGTTGTACGTGGGGTTGCTGACATAATGCGATCGCTGTCCTGAGGTCGGGATCCACACAAGATAATACGTTCCGACAAACCACGTTCGTTATGAACGGGCAATCTTTATGAGCAGGGTTCCTTCCCAAGTGGCAATACTTATAATGCGTAATTTAGATATATTTTTACGTGTAAAAGGCATAATAGATAACTTGTCCAGAGTGCTTCTAGTACCTGTTCAAGTCCAGGCTCCCAGGTTCAAGAACCACCTCTTGTCCTCGACCTATTGTATATAGATGCACATGACTCTCCGGCATCGAGAGATGCTGAAAGTTGTTCACAATGTCAACAAAGTCCCGTTACACCTTATAAATAGGTTCATGTGATTGAATGTCATTGTAATGTGTTGCTATTCAAGCACAAATTGTTATGGGACACGCAGACGAATTTCACACCATCACTTTTTGCTTTTGGCCTGAGGGTGAAGTTGATTTTGTTTAACCAGGTGAGATCGCAAGAAACAAAGATAGTCTAATTTGCAAGCATGACCTGGGGAATTGGTATGTCTGAAGGTGGCGAAGATTGCTATGATATAATCCCAATTAAAGAATATGAAGTATTATTTTTTAATTTGGAAAATGTTGACTCTGATGCCGGCACACAACGGCCTACTCTTGCCAATGGCAGCGGGGGATCTTTGACATCCACAGTGAAGCAGATGGACACGTGCTATTGTGGTTATAGTGCACTAACCACTGCACCCTCCGCTCCCCTTAATTTGCATTACGAGTGATTAATTTTAAAGAATTTGGATCAATTATAAATAGTCTTGCTTGTATTCATACTTTAGGTGTCAGGACACTTATTAATGTCGCTATATTCCCCTGTTAGGCAGTGCATTTAGTAGCATCACATAGTCTAGAAACACCGTTGCATAAGCTTTATCGTATTCCGCATTTTAATTAAGAGCTCGCCCTTGTTTGATTGCTTGTGTTCTGTCCTTTAGCTGCCACTGTTATTACTCGCGACCGGCTGCATACAATGTGCCATCTTTTCTCACCACACCGACGCGAGCTAAATCGTCCCTGCACTTGCGTTTCTGTCCGACAGTGCCTGGTGTTCGAGGACGCCCCGCTGGGGGTACAGGCGGGGCTGGCGGCCGGGATGCAGGTGGTGATGGTCCCGGACGAGAACCTGGACTCGAAGCTCACGGCCGGCGCCACGCTGGTGCTGCGCTCCCTGCAGGACTTTGTGCCCGAGTCGTTCGGGCTGCCGGCGTACAGCGACTGAGCGAACGATCGCGTGGGAAGGGCTGGAGAAATAGAGAGCGGCCGTTCGAATAATGCTGGGTGATGGCGATGGTTTGACTGGCTTACGGAGTCTTCTTCTTACTTATGTTGTGGGGTTGATCAGGAATGTGCTTAAATGTTCGTGTCGAGGTTGGCGAGTGAGCAAGTGGGTGGCTTCAGGAGTGACCTGGTGAATGTCTGAATCGCGGCTGGCGAATGAACGAAGCGAGCGGTGTGTGGTGATTGTGGAGGTCATGTGGGCCCCCTGGGAGAAAGGAATTTGTGCGTTCTCCCTATGTTGAGATTAACACTCTAAAGTTTACAAACCATACTACAGTCGGTGGCTGTAATTTTCCAAAGGATTCTAGAACTTGCAGATAAATAAAAATATATATACTATACAGTTTTTCGTCGTACTAAGTTTTTATTATTATTTACGTTTCCCAGAATAAATAAAAAAATCTGGAATTAATACCGACCCACGGCTTACATCAATGGCAAGTGATATCTGAACCAGTCTTGGGTGCATCCTTCACAAATCCACACTGGTGAAATATGGTCAAACAACCCCCATGATCGGCACGGTGTGGGGGAGGCCTCCCATCCAGTTGCGGATTGGCAACGGGATCATATTTCTCGTTTCGTGAAGTGCATGCTACGTATAAAAGATTCTACGCAGTTCCTGGCCGGTAGTTGACACTGCAAACGGTAATCCGCTAAATGTTCGTAATATACATGACCGATTCCACAAGTCAGGAACCGGCAACTTTTTTCTAGAGAAAATGTGGAATGAATGCACCAATTGGCACGCATGAACATACAAACCGCACGCTGCATGGTGCTGCTGGCCAGTGGCAGGCACCTGCCGGCACCTACTCCAGTCTAGTGAAGTCTCCGTGTGGTCCAGCCTGTGCTGTAACACGGTAGTTGTGTTCCTGAAGAACACCGCTTTATGGAAATATTGTGTTATAGGGTAAAGAACAGTCCTCGATAACACGTGAAATGTGGACGCAGGCCGAACAAAGACTGAGGCGCGTGGGTAGCACCTGGAAGCATCCAGCAGCATCCCGCTGCCGTGCGTGGCGCTACGCCAGAGGCAGCCGTACGACCGCTTATTCCTACTCGCGCGACCGAGTTCCGTCCGCTCGATCGCGTTATATCCAAGTCGCATCCGCGTTATCAAAAAGTTTTCCTAAATACATTCGCCGTGTTTTATCCAATTCGTGTTATGAAAACAACACGCGGCGTTGTAGCAGAATTGACTGTACGTGTTTCAGCTAAATGTGCAGCCCTGTAATTGCTTGCTCATTCCACCGGTGGTGGAAAAAGCCTCCGCTAGACTGACCAGAAGATGTAAGACGAGGGCATACCCACTGCGTGTTACCACCACCGCGTGTTACCCCCACCGCGTGGATAACCTGCCAGTTGATTTAAGTGTTACCTTGTTTAAACTGCTGCGCCAGGGAACTGGGTCTAACTGGCGCCCTCTGGATTGCAAGTTTAGCGTGCTAACCATTACAGCACAGCAGTTCCATTTCTCGGTTAAAAATGTAAAATGTTGTGTTCATTGTACTTGACATTTCTACACGTGGGGGAAGCTGGAAAGACGTTTTATTTGACCGCTTTTTTCCCACTCGTTCATAGGCAATGCAAATAAAACCGGGTTTGGCAACCCGAATGGAGACGAACGACATAAGAGTGGTGGCCAATGGAGAAAACACCCCTCGGAGGACATCCACAGCGGAGATGGAGGGATGAGGTCGGCTCCCGTGTAAGGGCTGGAGCCTTTGTAAAACACGTTAATTGTTGTATCACAAGGCCACGAGGGATGGCAACTTAAGCTAAACTTAGTTGATTATTTTACCAGGTCAGGCCCCACTGAGCTCTATAGCTCATTTTGAGAAGCGACCTGGCTGCGAATGAGAGCTCGACGAAGCGGCTTGTGTGTGTGGACATTTACAGCGGTCAAATACAATACTCGGTAAGCGCACGTTTGTGAATGTGTAAGGAAAACCCAGAAGACCCCGAGAAAAATCCACGCGACCACGGAGAGAGAGACGCAAACTCCAAATATACGGCAGCAGGCGTGCAACACCTTTGGGGAGGCCTTCATCCAGCAGTGGATAGGTCAGAGCGCATGAAATTGACGGTTGCGTACGCTATCACGGTGCACATCTAGCGTTCTATGTAAGTGAAGTATAAGCAGAGACTGGGCACCTTGGACGTCTTTACATCGGTCGTACAAATCCCTCCTTCCGTCTTGCAGGAAGGAGGGGTGTGGGAACTGGAACTGCCAGCCTTGCCAGGGCTCCCAGCAGCAGCAGCCGTCGCGTTCGTGCGGTGACCCCGTCTGGTGCCAGCAGGTGGAGGCAGCGGCATCTGTTGCAGTGCGCACGTGAACACAAACAATGAGGTCATGGTGTCATGAGACACACTTAAGATGTAAACCAAATACGCGTACAACGTACACGCAGCAGCGTATGCCGCACTGTATTTACATGTTGTTTATTTAACCGCGTCATTGTTTGGTCAGGAACTAAACTTGTTTTCTCTTTTTGACAATCGTCGACAATCGGTAATGATCGCTCCACTGCTGGATGGGAGCCTCCGCCTGCCGTCGCCACCCCCACGTTTAGCGTTTGTTGTTGTGTTTTTGCTCACGCAAAACATGTTAACAGCAACTGCGTAGAATCGGCCTGAAATATTCGGGTATTTCACCACCGCCACCCATCATCACGATGAACAAACGCCGCTGTGTTAACTCTGAAAGGCTGTGTGTTTCATTTCTACGGAAGCGTCACATTCCTCGGGCTAAAGGTAATGTTAGTGGCGACCGTGGCAAAGTACGATACTTTAGGCCAATACTTTCCATTAGTCCCCAGAGTCAACACATTAAACATTTGGCGTATAACGAGCCTTGTACATTCCCGGGAATTGCTGCGCTTCGGGCAGGGCTGGAGGGACATCCGCATTGATTGTGGCGGTTGTAATTTAGACGTAATATCTACACAATTATGTGTCGGGGAATCTATCACTAAGATGACGACGCACCTACCAACCGTACTACTTGAATCTCCGGACGTTCTGACAGTCAACCGTGAGGAGGTTTCTTGCCGACCGTGAGAATTCAGTACCATGCCAATCACGACGTCCGCAGATGAGGATGCTTCAGCTGGGAGGTGCGCCGTCTCTGCGAGACCCTCCCCACTCACGATGTTTGTTTGGATGATCCGTCACTATTCAAGCCACAGATCGATCGTCTGTCGTCCCTTGCGGGGCCTGTAAGAATCTAACAGTGCTGTGAATCTGAATTCTACGGTGATGTGAATATGTAAAATTAATAATGGCGTGAATCTAAAGATAGTATACAGTAGCATTAACCACCGGAGTCTATTGGGGGTATAAGTTTGTCATCTACCGCGGTGTGAATCTATGTTATGAACAGCGGTGTGTGAATATTTAGGCTACAGTCGTGTACATATTCTTAGGTTTTTTTCGGTAAAGTCACGTAGGTAAAACATCAAAATGAATGAAAATAAAATAAAACAAAAAGTCGTGTACATCTGGAGAGACCTACGCCTCCTTTGAAAAACAAACGCTTGTAATCGCAATGGGTACTGACGCGAGTATAAACGAGCATTCCTTTTCATATTCGTTACTATCGTGGTCGTGAATATTTGGAATCCAGAGTGGTGTGTGTGTGTAGATTCTATCCAGTGGCACGAATCAACTGAAAAGTCTGGCGACCAATACACGACAACGTGTAGCAGCCACAAACGAACACGAATCTGAAAAAATCGACTAAACAGCTTTAAGAATGCAACGAAAAAATCTTGACTCAAAGCTTTCGTGACTGCAGGAATTCATATTATTTGGGTGTTTCGGTACGTGACTTCACCGAAAGACCCAAAGAAAACTGCAGCGGAGACCCCCTTCACCCCCATCCATCCATCAGTGCAGCCCGGCCACGTGAATAAACACTGCCCCCCCCCCCCCTGTCACTAGCCCCGCCCACCGATCAGCTGATCTCTCCCCCCCCCCCTTGTCACTAGCCCCGCCCCAACACGCGATTACAAATACTACCACGTTTAAGCATCGGCTCAAGCCCCGCCCCTGGACAGCCGGCATCCAATGGCAGCGCGCGGAAGCAGCTTATCGCGAGTGGGAAATGCAAAGGAGGGGCGGCGCTGAGCGAGCGCGCTATATATATCGGGCGGGGCCGCCGTGTTGTTGTTCCCGAGATGCCTTGCGACGCGTGGAGCTGTCGTCGCTAAGGGCCGCCTCACTCCCCCCCGGCTCCGCCGCCACCGCCACCATCGCCCGCTCGCTGCGATCGCAATCCCGCCTCATGGGCGCGACGACCCCGCTCACAAACACAATATAAAGTTGGGAAAATCGGCCGCGCTCCGCCGCGACCGCGGCGACTATTGTCGCCGACACGAGCGAGCCCTGCGGCGAGGATGGCGAGCGATTCTCCGGCGAGGAGTCTGGACGACATTGACCTGGCGGCTCTGCGGGTAACTTCCACCGACGTCCTCCTTGCTCCGCCGTCGGTTATTGTTGAGAGCACTTGGCAACACCAGTCTCGTTATCCACGTGTGTTGTTGTTGGTGCCGCTGCGGTGATGTTGTTTCCCTACTTGGTTCCGTACGTGGGCACCGTGCGGTGTGTGAAGTGTGGCCACGGTCTCTAACAACTTCTAACTTGGGTAAGAAGAGACCTTGAGGCGGCGTGGGTTGCCCGCTGTGAGGCGAGCGACTGAGCGACTGAGCCGCGTCACTTGGTGGCCACTTCTCACGGCGAGAGAGGCGACTCGTAGACTGGGCGAGACGGGCGCAGAGCGACTTTGGTTGCCCCCCAGTGAAGCTGTAAGTGGCAACTCCAGGGCGACCGCGGGCGACTTTGTTGCTCATCGGCGGCGACCGCTTGTTGCTCTGTAATGAAAGCGATTTTGTAAAAAAAACAAGCGACCAGTTGCTCTAATGACGGGGGGGGGGGCAGCTTGTGTGTTCTTAGGAGTGGCAGCGACTGTTGATCAACAGGAGTGACCAGCTGCTGCACAAAGTGGAGAGATGTATTGAGAGCGACGTGGTCGCAAAATAATCTGTATGTGTGACCCTTATGGCGGTACCCCGCGGTGCCAAACAATACGAACTGGCCGAGGCAATTAAATGTGTTACTTCTGGGACACAATTTTTCCCAGGGGTGTAACTTCACTCCGACATCGGTGCCACTCCGCGCTGTCGATTGCGCCGAAATCCCCAACGCTCGCGGTACGCACCACCACCACCGCCGCCGTGGTGGTGGTGCGTCGTGAGTACAGCTCGTCCAGACGAGTCCATCGCCCACCATCGACAGACTAAGAATGACTGCATCACGGATATCATGCGAGAGCCGGGGTGCTACGGAACCCCGGGGTACCGCCACAAGGTTCATATAATAAGTAGTCATGTGGCCACGTGCATGTCTGGACTCGCCTCGTCACTGAAACGTAGCGAAAGCACAGCCCTCTTGCTCGATCTACTGCTGGAGGAGGATTCTGCACGATAGCAGTGGGAGGTTGGTGAAGGGGAACTCTGTCAAGGGACTTGTCCAGATGGCGAGATGTGTGACCTGCCTCTCCCGCCTGGTATGCAGCAGGTCGTGGGCTCACTCCCGACCCTGACGCCTGTATATTTGGCGTCTGCTTCTCTCTCTCCCCGTGGTCGCGTGGATTTTTTCCCCCTCCACATTTATGATGGACGTGCTGTTTTTAGAGTATTTGGCTGCAATGAATTCCCACGTGATAAGCCACTCCTCGTTGAGCTATCATTTGTGAGAGCCAGGTTGCTTCTGAAAAGAGAGTTGCATAGCACAGTGGGCATGACCTGGTAAAACAACTTCATACATGTGACATGCCACAGATGTCACTGGCGTGGCCAGTAGCTGGGTTTAGAGCGTATGTCCTCCCCCCCCCCCCCCCCCCCCCCGTTAAGTACAAATTACAAACTTTTAACGCTCTTTTAAAGTTGAGGCATGTGACCATTTAAAGGAACCGTGGCCACTTCCACAAAAGGTGTATTTTTTCACATAAAAGTATAACTGTTGTTAATAAGGAAGCTTGAAAGTTTAACTTGGTTGCAGTCCGTTTGTTATTGCTTCTGTTGGTATAAAAATGTGGTTTGTATTGGGGCCCGAGACCAGTTTTATAACGCATTTTCCATCTGCCCTCCCTTCCCTCGCTTGTCCAATGTTGCCGCGTCTCGCCAGGAACCTGCCGGGATATTTGAGTTGGTGGAAGTCGTGGGGAATGGAACGTACGGGCAAGTGTACAAGGTATTTTCTAGCCATAAAATGTACCGTATACCCTCTCCTTGCTGACACAGATGTGCTGGCGCTTTTTAGGCGAGTAAACAATGTACGATTTCACATCGATTATTACGCTCACCAACTCGTTTGTGATAATTAATTGTTAACAATTGAAAGCAGGGTGGTGGGAAGCCTTTTCTTTTCATGAGGTTTGTCCAGAATATAACTTTAGATTCCTTTGGCGAGCCCAATGTTGTGCTCAGCCACTGCACTGCAGGTCACACCACTTCTCTCGTTGTGCTTCTTCACGTGCACGGGCCCACTTTGGAATTTCCTCCCTTCGCTTCTTTTCTCAAACGCCAAATTTACGGGCATCAGGGTCTGGATCAAACCCACGACCTCCTGCATACAAGGCGAGATGGCCTGATTTGAGCAGAGTTACCAACGCATCACGGCTTTAAATATTAAATCTTAAGTTCACATTCTGTCCAAGATTGTCTCGGCCCATCATTCTTTCTGGGTTTGTAAAATTAGTACTACCATAGGAGGCTGCACCACGTGGATGTGTGCAGAGAGAAGTTTGTAATATATATATAATTATCACGTATATAAACTGAACCCTGCCATAGGGATGTGAAATTCCCACCATCTGCTTAGTACAACTTGCTCGAGTTGAACGACGCCCAGCCCTGGTATTCACACGGGAGACCCTTTGATTTGCCTCTTGAGTATTCTGTAAAAACATAAGCCTCTACCCTGTATTGGCTGACAAGCTGTATTGGGTAAGAACCACAGACGCGTGTGTGGCGAGTGGATCGACTGGCTTAGTGGAAACAAGGTGTACCCCTTAACGTCCTTTGTTTGCGACAGCTGACAGGGCCCCCTTTATCTCCGGGCGGCGTAGCGTTGCATCTTACTTAAGACGAACGGCAACAGACCGGACCAGTTCAATGCAGTTGATCACGAAAGGAAAATAGGCATGCCGTGAGTGGTGCATTCCTCTGTGTGCTGTGTGAATTTGATGGTTCATTGCAGATACGGTGATGAATGGCAGCGAGGGCAGAGGTGTGAAACTGTCAATCGTGCACTGTGATTTGATGAATCGTCGTGATTCGGCAGTTGCGATTTTCTATTTACTTTTGCTGTTGTGGTGCAAGTAGAATCAATAGCTTCTGCAGGGTTTTGCATGAAAAACATCGTCAGCCATGATCTATCCTCCGCTGAATGAAGGGCTCCCCAAACCATCGCCAATTCTCAGTCTCCTGTGCACGCGCTTAGTTTATCGCTCTGCCTCTGTCATGGACATCCTCTCGGCTGTATTTTCTTCTTTGGCTGCCCCTCTGACATTTGTCTAGACCACTGACCATCAAAAGTCGTAAAACAATAATTGATTCTCACATGCAAGAATTAATGCCTTTGTATTGTGCATAAGAACCCACTTCGATGGATGCATCAATACACATCTGTAATCTGAGTGGTTGTCATATGTTAAAAAGGCATACATTTCTTTTGGAACAATAAATTATCATATATACTCTGGTATGTGGTTCTCAACCTGTGGTCCAACATACCACCAGTCTACAAGGCCATGGAACAGTTGCAGATGTAATTTTTGTGACCAAACGCCATGTGTTTTTGCTGCATGGTGGTGCGTGAAAAATGTTTGAGAGTTGATGGTGGTCCGTGGGTCCATAAATGCTATGAACTGCTACTCTAGGATTAACATATAAACACTTGCACAATGTATTTAATGTGCACACAATGTACTCTTCAGTTTGTATGCAGTTTTTAGATGGCCTCTAAATATCGACGTTTTAAAAAGCAGCATGTACACTTTGCGTGGGAGGTGGAGTGTTGAGTGAGTACGTAACACATGACATAATGGCATTGAGATGGGTGTCTTTATTCATGAAACGGATAACGTGGATTCCAAACCGCAATTCAAAATCTCGATGAATGGCACAAACCTGGGGGGGATTTGAGTCATTGAGTAGGAAAAACGGTTGCAGCGTAACAACGATTTGAACATGGCAAAGGGGATGTATCGGTACGCGTTGGTGTTTCCTGCCATCGCTGGAGGAACCGGAGGCCGCGGGGCTTGAGGGCAGCGTGTGTCAGATCCGCTCGAGTTTATTTTGGCTCGGCGTGTGACGATGGGCCCCGAGTTCTCTCTGCCACCACGCCCAGCCGTCGGCATCGAGCAACAGGTTATTTTGCGCAGGCCGATTTGTTTCGATGCAGGGCGTCCGTATGGGTGCTAGGGCCAAATCGCCCGGAAAGCGGCCGATTGCGTTAAAGCTTCGCAGTGATTGTCTGGATAACGATTGGATAGGTTGGATAGGGGACCCAAGGTGAACAGGTTAGAGGCTGTGGGGGGCTCATGGTGGACAGTAGAATGCAGTTCAGCAAAATGTGTGGCCGTTGCTGCACTTTTTTATTTCCACATCTATGCTCTCTACATTCACCAACCCGCACTGACCTGCATGGTTAAATAGCCACCAGGCCCACCTGGCCCGACCATCCTGCCCGCACAAAAAAGCAGCCTTCCGCCTGGAATGCAGCACCATCCAGCGCAAGCTTCGAGAGATTCAGAACGAGTGGTGGACCAACCTCGCAGTAAAAACACAGGTTTGCGCTGATACTGGCGACTACAGGGGATTCTACGAAGCCCTAAAAGCGGTATATGGCCCCTCGTACCAAATCCTGAGCCCCCTGCGGAGTGCAGACGGGAAAAAACTGCTCACTGAAAAGGACTCAATCCTGAACCGCTGGTCTGAGCACTTCTACACGCTCTTCAATGCTAGCCGCTCAGTCCAAGAACCAGCGATTGACCGCATCCCACAACAACCAGTGAAAACCGAACTGGATGTGGCACCAACATTACAAGAGACTGAGGAAGCCATTAAACAGCTGAAGAGTGGTAAAGCTGCAGGAGTCGATGGCATCCCTCCTGAAGTATGGAAGAACGGAGGCCCAGCACTGCACACCAAACTCCATGAATTCTTCGTCTGCTGCTGGGAGCAGGGTAAACTCCCTCAAGATCTCAAAGATGCAGTCATCATCACCCTGTACAAGAACAAAGGGGAGAAATCAGACTGTTCCAATTATCGTGGCATAACACTTCTGTCCGTCGCCGGCAAAATCCTCGCAAGAGTACTGCTGAATAGACTGGTACCCGCAATAGCTGAAGATCACCTCCCAGAGACCCAGTGTGGCTTTAGAGCCAACCGGGGAACCACAGACATGGTGTTTGTCCTGAGGCAGATTCAGGAAAAGTGCCGGGAGCAAAACAAAGCACTGTACGTCACCTTTGTGGACCTGACAAAAGCGTTTGACACCGTGAGCAGGCAGGGACTTTGGAAAATCCTGGACAAGCTAGGCTGCCCACCGAAGTTCCTCACCATGATCGTCCAGCTTCATGAAGATCAGCTTGGACAAGTCAGAAATAGCAACAATCTCTCGCAGCCCTTCCCTATTGCAAACGGCGTGAAACAGGGCTGTGTTCTTGCTCCCACGCTGTTCACCATTTTGTTCAGCATGATGCTCCAGCAGGTCACAGAGGACCTCGACGACGCTGATGGCGTATACATCCGTTTTCGTCTCGACGGGAGCGTGTTCAACCTGAGGCGTTTGCAGGCCCACACAAAGACCATGGAGCAACTGATCAGGGAGCTGCTTTTTGCTGACGATGCCGCCCTCCTTGCTCATACAGAGGCAGCTATGCAGCGAATTACGTCCTGTTTCGCGAAAACAGCTCAGATCTTCGGCCTTGAAGTCAGCCTGAGGAAGACTGAAGTTCTTCATCAGTCCGCACCCCATGAGGAGCACCATCCACCAAGCATCTTCATTGAACAAACAGAACTGAAAGCTGTCCACCAGTTCAGCTACTTGGGGTGCGTCATCTCGTCTGACGCCAAGATCGACAACGAAGTCGACAACAGGCTGGCCAAGGCAAACAGTGCATTTGGCAGACTATACAAACGTGTCTGGAACAACAGAAACCTTAAAAGAGCCACAAAGGTCAACGTCTACAAAGCTGTTGTGCTGACCACTCTCCTGTATGGCGCTGAGTCCTGGGTCACGTACCGTCGTCACCTGAGTCTCCTCGAGCGTTTCCATCAGCGCTGCCTCCGCACAATCTTCAATATTCACTGGAGTGACTTCGTCGCCAACACTGAAGTCCTCAAGTCAGCGAAGGTCATCAGCATCGAGGCCATGGTCCTCAAGACACAGCTTCGTTGGGCAGGGCACATCGCCAGGATGGAGAACCACCGCTTGCCTAAGATCGTGCTGTATGGGGAACTGTCCTCTGGCCATCGCGACATAGGGGCACCACGAAAGCGATACAAAGACTCCCTGAAGAAGTCCCTCACTGCTTGCTGCATCGATCACCGTCAGTGGGCAACACAAGCAGCTGATCGCAACTCCTGGCGGCACACAGTCCACCAGGCCACCTCCTTCTTCGAAGATACCCGCAGGGCCCGTATGGAGGACAAAAGGAGAAGGAGGAAGAACCATGATCCCTCAGCACCCATCCCAGATGAGACCTATACTTGCAGCTGTTGTGGCAGGACCTGCTTGTCCCGCATAGGCCTCTTCAGCCACCAGCGTGCCTGCAGAAGACGTGGATGTCCTTCCTAGATCTTCGTTCGCGAAGCCAAGCCATGATGATGATGACCACCCACATGGTGCGTGGAGAGTCCTCATGCAGCAGTGGCTTGACAAATGGTCTTAGAAATGTTTTGTCGGAGTGCTGATGAATATTAGGGGATTAATAACAAGTCGAATCATGGATTAATATTAATTTATTTTTTAAATCTCTCTGCATCAAATGCCGTGTGACAATCAACATTGTCAAAAAAGTCCATGACATCAGACCAGATGGTTCACTTGTCTGTACCAACTTGGAGTGGCATAACTTTAGTTGTTCCAACTTCTTTGCGTGACCAATACCAATGAATTATGTGAACCATTGAAACATAAATGACTTTTCTAAAGCACCTTTCTACTTGGTACACAAGGCCCTA